GCCATGCCATGTCATGTTGAGCCGTGCTGGGTCATGCCATGCCATGTTGATCCGTGCCGGGTCATGCCATGCCATGTTGAGCTGTGCCGGGCCATGCCATGCCATGTTGAGCCATGCCAGGCCATGCCATGCCATGTTGAGCTGTGCCAGGCCATGCCATGCCATGCTGAGCCATGCCAGGCCATGCCATGCCATGCTAAGCTATGCCAAGCCATGCCAAGTCGTGCCATACCGTGCTGAGCCATGCCATGCCGTGTATGCCATGCCATGCCGTGCATGCCATGCCATGCCATGCCATGCCAAGCTGTGCTGTGCCATGTCACCTCATGACAAACCATGCTGTGCCAAGCCGTGCCATGCTGAGCCACGCTGGAAGCAGAGGGTGCAGCATGGGGGCCATGGTTTGGGGACACCCATGGGTGACCAGCTGGCCCTGACACCCTGTGTCCCGGCAGGTGCGTGCGGATCACCGACACCGGCCTCAGCTACCTGTCCACCATGTCATCCCTGCGGAGCCTCTACCTGCGCTGGTGCTGCCAGGTAGGTGTGGAACACGGCTGTGCCCGTCCTGGCTCAGCACAGCAGAGAGGGCATGGTGGCACCTCCCTGGGGACGGGCCATGAGCTCAGGGCGGGTTCCTGGGGCTGGCTGAAGACCCCAAGACACGGTGCCAGGAAGCAGAGAGCTCCTGTGAGCTCAGCAGGACTCAGCCCTGGCACCCTGACCCTGCATCCTTGCCCCAGCACCAGAATCCCCAGACCTGCTGCAGGCTCCCTGCCCTGCTCCCCTCCCTGGCGCACAGCCCAGACCCAGCACCCCAAAATCCTGCCCAGCATCCTGCTGCAGCATCCCACATCCCGCTCAGGCTCCCTCCCCAGCACCCAGCTCCCTGCAGCCTGTCCCATCGCAGGGCCAGCACAGTGCCCAGCACCCAGCCCTGTCCCCAGCTCCCTCCCCAGCCTGGCGATGCTGAGCCCTGGTGCTGTGCTTGTCCCCACTGTCCCCTGCTCATCCCCATCCCATCTTCTTTTCCAGGTGCAGGATTTTGGCCTGAAGCACCTCCTGGGCATGGGCAGCCTGCGCCTCCTCTCGCTGGCTGGTGAGACCCTGACCCTCCTCCAGGGACCAGAGATGCCCCAGGGCTGGGGAGGCACAGGGCATGGGGACAGAGAGAGCCCTGGGGACAGCCTGGGGACAGCCTGGGGACAGCCAGCATGCCCCCAAGCCAGCAGGCACCTGCACCCGGCCCAGCCTGTGGGGAGAGACGCACGGCTGGGCTCTTGGGGTGCGCTGGTTTTTGGGGTGGTGGTGTTTCAGGAGCTATGGATTTGCAATTCAAGTTTTCTGGGGTGTTGGTTTTTGGGGAGCTAGGGGACACTGCTTTTTTGCATGCTTTATTTTTCTTTTTTTTTTTATTTTTGAATACCAGTTCTTTGAGATGTTGGGTTTTTAGGCTGACTTTGGGGTGCAGGTGTTTCAGAGCACTATTCTTTAGCATGCTGGTTTTCTGGGTTCTAGTGGGGTTTTTTTGGTGCTAATTTTGATGGTCTTGGTATTTTGGGGTGCTGGTGCTTTAAGGTACTGCTTTTTGTGTGCATTTTTGTGTGCATTTTTGAGTGCTGGATTCTTTGCTTGCTGATATTTTGAGTGATTTTTTTGTATTGTTAGGGTTCTTGGGGTACTTTTTTTAACACGCTGATTTTTTTGGGTTCTGTCTTTTGGGTGTGTTGAGTTTTGAAGTGCTGGGATTTTGAGGTCTTGATCCTTTGGTCCTGTTTGGGGGGGAAGTTTGGTGTTTTGGGATGTTGGTGCTTTTGAGATGCTATTTTTTGGGATGCTATTTTTTGGGTTGCTATTTTTTGGGTTGCTATTTTTTGAGGTCACTGTTGTTCAGCCCTGACAGTGCACCCTGTCCCCTTGCAGGCTGCCCCTTGCTGACCACCACGGGGCTGTCGGGGCTGGTGCAGCTGCAGGAGCTGGAGGAGCTGGAACTCACCAACTGCCCCGGGGCCACCCCGGAGCTCTTCAAGTACTTCTCGCAGCACCTCCCGTGCTGCATGGTGATCGAGTAGCGCCGGACCCGGCCCACCCCGGCCGCATCGCCCACCCCATCTCCCTCTGGCTGCTGGGGGGTTCCAGAGACGCCCCCGCTTCCAACCGAGCCCGGCCATCCCCCCCGAGGGGCGCGGGGCTCCGGGGGGAGATGGGGCAGGCGTCCCCCCGGCTGCCATGTACATTCCCCCTGCCGCCGCCGCCATCGCCCGTGCTCCTCCCGGTGTCCTGCCAATCCCTCCCGGACAGACGAACGGACATCACGGCAGCCCAAAGTGGGACCCCCCCGGCCGCATCCTGCTCCCCCCGCCCCGGTACCGAGCGGGCACACGGCCCCGCCGCCAAGGATGCTCTGGGCACCAAGGATGCTCCCAGGGATGGGCCAGAGGAGGATGCTGATTTTTGGGGGGCGGCGGAGGCTGGATGGGTCCCCTCACGCCCCTGGAGCGGGTCACCGAGCCCACCCCCCACCTCCCCGTGCTGCGTGTCCCCTCCAGCCCCATCCCGGTGAATAGGATGCCCCTCTCCGCCCGCCCGCCGCCCTCGCATGCTCGCTTGCTTCAGTCTCGTGCTACGGCAGGTTTCGGGGTACCCGGGGGGACGGTGACAAGTGACAGCCCCACTGAGCCCCTCCACGCGGCTTCGCCCCGGCCGGATCCTGCCCCGGAGGTCGGGCTCCCCTGGCGAGCATCCCCCGCCGCCCCGGGGACCCCACTGCACCCCGCGGGGCTCTGGGGGTGATGCCAGCACCGAGGAGCCACCCATCCGTCTGGGATGGGACATCCCGGGGCACCGGGGCCGGCTCGGAGCCACCGCGGCAGCGCAGAGAGACCACAGGAGGTGGCACCTAGGACACGCTGCCACCGCCACCGCTCTTCCAGCTGAAAAGCCATCACCTCGATGCCAGCGGCAAGCGGGGCACCGGGGGGACCCCTGGGCTGCGCCGAGACGGGACCGAGCCGGCGTGGGGCTGGGGTGCCCACGGGGGACCCAGCGCGGAGGGGCTCGGTGCCACCCTGCGGCATTGCCCGCTGCCACGGCAGCCGTGGGAGGAGCGTGGGCATGGATATGGACACGGACACGGGATGGGCACGGACACGGACACGGACACGGACACGGACACGCTTTCGGTTTGTTTTGCCTTTGTACCGGCCGGGAAGGAACTGCTGCACCAACTGCCGCCTCCGCTCCCTGCTTTGTCCGAAACGCCCCTTTCTGACCCCAACATGGCACAAAGAGGCCCTGGAAGGGGTTTTGGGGGTCCCCGGGGCTGCGGGACAAGGTGGCACTGCTGGGGGCTGGAGCACCCTGGCACGGGGCCGCAGGGCTGCCTGCACCCCCAAAGCCATCAGTGAGGGGCCAGGCAGGACAGCGGCACACAGGGGGTCCCCTCACCCCTGCAGCTGACAGCAGCAGTTTTGGGGTGCCATAGCCCTGCACAAGCCCCTAGTCCCGGTTACACTGACGGCACCCATACCCTCCCCTGCACCCCCCATGGCAGTGGCCCCCATACCCCCTGCACCCCTACTCCCCTGAGCACCCCTATATCCCTCCAGTGCATCTGTACACCACCAATGCACCCCACATCCTCTCGGCACCCCCATTTCCCCCCCTGCAGCCTGACCCAAAAGGCTCCCACAGACCCCTGACCCCCAGTTATCCCCTTGCTTCCCCATCCCCCATGCACCCCGAATACCCTGGACCCACATCTCCCCGGCACCCCCCAATGCACACCCTCACAGCAGTGTGCCCCGAGCCCCCCAGTGCACCCACAAACCCCTGTGCACCCCTGTAACACTCCAGCTCACGCCTACACCCTCAATGCACCTCATAACCCCTCGGCACCCCCATTTCCCACCCTGATCCATAATACACGCCACATCCCCCTAAACCCCATTTTCTCCTGCGCTCCCTGTCCCTCTGGGGTGCAGCTCTAGCATCCCCGTTCCCCCGGATCCCACATCTCCCGGACATTCCCACCCCTGGTAACACCCCGGTGCTCTCTCCTCCTGCCCCCCCAGTCCCAGTACAGCTCCTACCCCTCCCACTCCATCCCAGCGAACCCCCAATCCCAGTGACCCCCACGGGGACCCCCTGCACACCGGTCCCTGCACTGCCCCGATCCCCGGGCTCGGTGCCCGCCCTGTCCCCCGATCCCCGGGCCCGGTGCCCGCCCTGTGCCCCCGATCCCCGGGCCCGGTGCCCGCCCTGTCCCCCCGATCCCCGGGCTCGGTGCCTGCCCTGTCCCCCCGATCCCCGGGCCCGGTGCCCGCCCTGTGACCCCGATCCCGGGCTCCGTGCCTGCCCTGTCCCCCCGATCCCCGGGCTCCGTGCCTGCCCTGTCCCCCCGATCCCCGGTCCCGGTACACCGCCCTGTGCCCCGATCCCCAGGCTCGGTGCCCGCCCTGTCCCCCGATCCCCGGGCTCGGTGCCCGCCCTGTCCCCCCGATCCCCGGGCTCGGTGCCCCCCATGTCCCCCCGATCCCCGGGCTCGGTGCCCGCCCTGTGCCCCCCGATCCCCGGGCTCGGTGCCCGCCCTGGCCCCGCCCCCCGCCCTGGCCCCGCCCCTCGCCCACACCGGGGGCGTGGCCTCTGTTCTGGGCGTGGCCTCACACGCAGGGGGCGGGGCCTCTTGAGCGGCTCGGGGTGGGCGGGGCCTAATGGCGCTCCAGTGCGGGCAGGGGGCGTGGCCTGAGGCGGGGGGCGGTCCGGGTACAGAAGGCGTGGTCTCAGCACGGGGGGCGTGGCCTATGGGGAGGGGGCGTGGTCTAGCCTCAGAGGGGCGGGGCCAAACGGCGAGAGTGGCGGAGGGGGCGTGGTCAGGAGCAGGGGGCGGGCCCTGGCAGCGGGGGCGTGGCGTGAGGCAGGGGCGGGCTCCGCACTAGGAAGGGGGCGTGGTCTCACAGCAGGGGCGGGTCTTGTGGCGGAAATGGGCGGGGCCTGGCGGCGGGGCGGGGCCTGGCGTGAGGGCGGCGGAGGCGGCGGCGGCGGGGCCTGCTCGGCCCGAGCGGCCGGCGGGGAACCGGCACCGGGTACGGCCTCGGGAGCGGCACCGGGGCCGCGCACGGCGAGGGCAGCGGCAGGGCACTCTGTGTGGCGGGAGGAGGTTGTGAAGAGGCCCCGGCGGCTCTGAGGGGCGGGAAGGGGCCCTGAGGAGAACAGAGGGCGGGAGAGGCTCTGAGGGAGCCCTGAGCGGGCTCTGAAGGGCTGGAGGGGGCCCTGGAGGGGCTCTGGGTCAGGAGCGGGCCCTGCAGAGGGGGAAGTGAGGGGTCTGAGGGGTCCTGGGGGTCAGGAGAGCCCTGATGGGGTGGGAGTGTGGGGTATGAGGGGCTGGGGTGGCTCAGGAGTAGGACGGGACCCTAAGGGTGCGCTGAAGGTGGGAAGGGGCCCTGAGGGAGTGGGAATGTGAGGTGTGAGGGGTCTGTGGGACCTGGCAAGGGAGGGCAGTGCTGTGGCAGGAGCTCGGCCTGGCTCTGGAGGACACAGCCCGTGGGAAGCCTGGAGTAACTGCTGCCCCCACTCTGCTAGGGAAGGACGGTCATCCCTTGGTTCTTGCAGGCTCTGGGGCTCCGAGTGCCCCACGGAGGTGATCGTGGCCTCACTTCACCCCACCTCGTGCTGCGGACGCTGCTCACTTCAACCACAGCGCTGTACTTGGCCTGTATTGTCAACAACAGTGAAACTTCTCAGGGTGTGGCCAAGGAGGGAAGAAGGAACCCAGAGAAGGTTTTCAGGAACTCTCTGAGAGGGAGCCACAGAGGGCAGCAGGAGGAGAACCCGGAGCGGGGCTGTATCTCCCTCCCACAGGCAGCTCTGTGGCCTCTCACCTCCACACCCCGTTGATGCAGCCACACAAAGCCGCGGTTGGAGCCACCGGGGCCCAGCAGGAGCCCAGCCTGTCCCTGCCCAGCTCTGGCTGAGCTGGAGCAGGCTGGCCGTGTGGGTGTGCAGGCAGCCAGCTGGAGAGGGGACAGCACCCCGAGGACAGCCATGGAGAAGATGGCCAGGGTCACCACTGCCCTGGGGGGCAACGCGCTGACCGGCCGCACCATGTTCTGCCACCTGGACGCCCCTGCCAACGCCATCAGCGTGTGCCGGGACGCCGCCCAGGTGGTGGTGGCCGGCCGCAACATCTTCAAGATCTACTCCATCGAGGAGGAGCAGTTTGTGGAGAAGCTGAACCTCCGCGTGGGCCGCAAACCCTCCCTGAACTTCAGCTGTGCCGACGTGGTGTGGCACCAGATGGACGAGAACCTGCTGGCCACCGCCGCCACCAACGGCGTGGTGGTCACCTGGAACCTGGGCAAGCCATCCCGCAACAAGCAGGACCAGCTGTTCACGGAGCACAAGCGCACTGTCAACAAGGTGTGCTTCCACCCCACCGAGGTGTACATGCTGCTCAGCGGCTCCCAGGACGGCTACATGAAGTGCTTTGACCTGCGCAAGAAGGACTCCGTCAGCACCTTCTCTGGTACTAACATGGCTCTGGTCCTGTTCCCCTGTGGGGAAGCACAGTTTGGGAGCTTTGTCCTTTCATTGCTTGTCCCTTCACCCTTAGAAGGGAGGGGTGAGGGGCTTTGTCCTTCCCCTTGCCCAGGAGGAGGGTTTGCTCAGGGGGTGATGCCCAGGGCAGGGAAAGAAGGAGCTGAGAGGCATTTTGGTGCCTTTCCTTGCCTCTCAGCACTAGCTGGGTCTGTGTGGGAGATGGAAGACAGTCACAGCACTCCCTGCTACCTTCTCTCTGCGCCACAACTCTTCCAGTGGGATTTTTAGCTTTGCTGGAGCTCTTAACTTGTGTCCCCTCCCAGGGCAGTCGGAGAGCGTGCGTGATGTCCAGTTCAGCATCCGGGACTATTTCACCTTCGCCGCCACCTTCGAGAACGGCAACGTGCAGCTGTGGGACATCCGCCGGCCCGACCGCTACGAGAGGATGTTCACAGCCCACAACGGGCCCGTCTTCTGCTGCGACTGGCACCCAGAGGACAGGTCAGTGTGGGGCCAGGCCCTGCCAGCCACCCGGACTTGCAGGGATTTTTAGGGACTTTAGAGACCCTAAAAACAGGATTGGGATTTTGTGGGGGAAAGCATGGTCTGTGATACCCTGTCCCCTTGTGTCAGGAGCTGGGATGTTGCTGGGAGATAGGAGTGATTGTTACTTTGAGCATTTGGGGTGGGGTAAGGGTGTTTGAGGTTTGTTTTTTGATAGATTAGGGGGTTTAGAGGCACTGGGTGTCTTATGCTTGTGCAGAGCAGTGTCACAGTGGCCTCTCGCTCCAGTGTTCAGGTTGAGGAAGGCACAACTTGGCTGCTCTGGGACACAGCTCGCTTGTGTTCAGTCGTGTTTCCCTTTGCCTTTCCTGGGAGATTGCTGGGAAGGATCTGGAAGGAGATGTTACAGTGTGCATGTCCCTCCTCACTCCCTGCCAGGCAGTGCTGCCACTGCTTGTGATCTCGGAGAGGCACTGAAATATGTTCAGGATGCTCTTTTCCTCTCTGCTGTGCCTGGCCAGTGGAAAGCAGAGCCAGAGGGAACTGGTCTGACTGGGATGTGGCTCTAGAGGTGCAGGGCTGTAACTGGGAGCGGGAAGGAGAGTGCTGCCTGGCCTGGTTGCTGCAGAGCAGAGGTGCCAGGGGAGCTCATGGGAGGATGGCATTGCAGCCCAGCCACCCTCCTGCAGAGTGCATGTGGTCACACCTGTGCTGTGAGCATTTCTGTGCCACGGTGGGGCCAGAGAGGTGAACACTGATCCGTCCCTGTCCCAGGGGCTGGCTGGCCACAGGCGGCCGCGACAAGATGGTGAAGGTGTGGGACATGAACACGACGCGGGCCAAGGAGATCTACTGCGTGCAGACCATCGCCTCGGTGGCGCGGGTGAAGTGGCGCCCCGAGTGCAAGCACCACATCGCCACCTGCTCCATGATGGTGGACCACAACATCTACGTGTGGGACGTGCGCCGCCCCTTCATCCCCTCCGCCATGTTCGAGGAGCACAAGGACGTCACCACGGGCATCGTGTGGCGGCACCTCCACGACCCCTATTTCCTCCTCTCGGGCTCCAAAGACAGCACCCTTTACCAGCACATCTTCAAGGACGCCAGCCAGCCCATCGACCGGGCCAACCCCGAGGGGCTGTGCTACAGCCTCTACGGAGACCTGGCCTTCGCCGCCAAGGAGAGCCTCATCTCCTCCGACTCCAACCGCAAGCCCTACATCGGCGACCGCCGCCACCCCATCTTCTTCAAGCGCAAGCTGGACCCCACGGAGCAGTTCGAGTACATCTCGTCCTCCAGCGCCCTCAGCGTGTTCGAGACGGACGTGGAGAGCGGCAGCATGGACTGGTTCGTGCACACGGCCAAGCAGTACGCGCTGGCCGGCCGGCCGCTGGCCGAGCTCTGCGACCACAACGCCAAGGTGGCCAAGGGGCTGGACCGCAACCAGGTGAGCTGCGGGTCAGCTGGGGCTGCAGAGGGGTGCCAGCCTGGGATGGGCTGACAGGGACTGTGCTCAATGCAGGTGGCTCAGACCTGGACGATGCTGAGGATTATCTACTCCAGCCTCGGCACCGTGTCGTCCACAAACCTCAACCACAGCATGGGGAAAGGCAGCGCTGCCCTCCCACTCATGAACAGGTACAGGGGAAGGGAGCTGCAGGGAGGGATGAGATGACTGGGATAGCTCCATGGCAGGGGGAGTGGGAATGGCTCCCTGGCTGGGATGGGGTTATAGAATCACATAATGAAATCCCAGAATGGTTTGGGTTGGAAGGGGCCTTAAAGCTCATCTCGTTCCAACACCTTGCCATGGGCAGGGACACCTTCCACTGTCCTGGCTGCTCCAAGCCCCGTCCAACTGCCCTTGGACACTTCCAGGGATCCAGGGGGAGCCACAGCTTCTCTGGGCACCCTGTGCCAGGGCTTCACCACCCTCCCAATGAACAATTTCTGCATAATAACTAACCTGCCCCAGACACAGGGTGCGAGCAGGGACAGCTCTCCCTCAGGCTGTGCTGGTTTGCGTGTTGGCATTGTTTGAATGCAGCCATTTCCCATGTTGGTGTGGGAAGTGAGTGCCCAGCCTGGCCTTGAGCTCTGCAGCCTCACACACTGCTCCCTTCTCTCCTTCAACCAAAGTTTGGCCTGTGGTGGGGCAGGGGCTGGGATCAGCTTTGCAGTTATTGAATTAATTAATCACAGAATCTCTGATGTTGGAAAAGTCCTCCGAGATAATTCCCCCAGCAGCACTGCCAAGGCCACTGTGTGATGTTGAACATCTCCAGGGGTGGGTAGAGACTCCACCACCTTTTCCATAAAGAAATTTTCCCAAGATCAAATCTAAACCTCCTCTGTCACAATCTGGGGCTATTTCCTCATTTCCTCTTCTCCTGTTCCCTGGGAGCCTGACTCCCCTAGTTCCCCACTTCTGTAAGGGAGTTGTGGAGCTGAGATGGTCCCCCCTGAGCCTCCTTTTCTCCAGCCCGAGCTCTCCCAACTCCCTCAGCCCCTCCTGGTGCTCCAGCCCCTTCCCCAGCTCTGTTCCCTTCCCTGGACACACTCCAGCCCCTCAGTGTCTTTCCTGTCATGAGGGTCCCAGAAGTGATCCGGGATGTGAGGTGAGGCCTCAGCAGTGCCAGGGCAGTGATGGTGACCAAGGGCTGGGGATGGAGGGGGTGTCTCATGGCTGGAGCTGGAACTGCCGGTGTGCAGAGGTTTTCTTCTGGAGCCTTTCCAGGGGAGAGCACAGCCCAGCTCTGCCAGCAGCTCACTGGTGTGGAGAGCCCGTTGTGGGCTGATGAAGCAGGAAAACTTGTTTTTCCTCTTCTCAATGACATAAACGTGTGGGGTGAGGACTACGAATGAGCTGTCAGACCTCACAGGACCGGGTTCCCACAGTGAGTGACAGATCCTCAAATAACACCAAAGGAAACAAGCACTGTCCTTGACCAAGCTGTGCCTCCAGGAGTGGCTGTGCCGCTGTCTGAGACACGGCAGGCAGCAGCCTGGAGAGCTGGGCTCTGCTCCATCCCCTCCCTTTTCCATCTCGGTGAAGGCCAAGCATGGTGATGCATAACTAACAGCCAGGCACCTTGGAGCCAGGCAGCTCCCATTCACCTGCCTCTGAGGGGAAGGAGATGGAGCCAAGAGCCTGCTCAGCTCTGGAATTCTTCAGAGAGACCTTTGAAGTGCATGTGCAGTGCCACCAGGCTTGGAGGAAGGGCTGTGACTGCAGTCACAATGTGTCTTTATTTTTAAGTCATACAGTGGGAACTGGTGACTTCTGCTCACTGTATCTCATGTTTCTCCATTCAAATTGCAACTGGACACCTGTATCCAGGCTATTTGCTGGCTGAAATAGGAACTTTATACTCCTCTGACTGTTAAATTCGTCTTTTTTCCCCAGCTTTAACCTGAAAGATATCCCTGCTGGGCTGGGCAGCGAGTCCAGACTGGACCGCAGCAAAGGAGAAAGCCGCACGGAAAACATCCTCATGGATTCCTCCTCCACCCTGATCAACAACGAGGGTAACGCTCCTGGGTGGGCACAGTCCAGTCCCACAGCTCCTCCCTCCTCGGGCATAGATAGGGCATAAACAGGGCCGTTTATCCTGTGACCTGGGGTGGCTGAACGTGCTGCAGCCCCACGGTGAAGGACACCGAGCCCCAGGGCCCTGCAGAAGGACAGCTTTCCCCCATGACCCGGGTGACAGGGACAGTGGTGGGGAACTGAGCTGTGTGGCTTGGGCACAGCCTGGCATGCTGGGCAGGACACTGGGAGGTGGATCCAGTGATGTGATGAGCTGATTTCTCTTTCCCTGGGCCGTGCAGACAACGAGGAGACGGAGGGCAGCGACGTCCCTGCGGATTATCTGCTGGGAGATGTGGAGGCAGATGAGGATGACCTGTACATGATGGACCACGAGAACCCACACGGTGAGCGCACAGCGGGAGGTGCTGTCTGTCCCAGCTGGCTTTTCTCCTGCTCATTCCTACTCTTCTCCTGGCAGCTGAAGAGCAGGAATACAGCCTTCCCCAGGAAGCCTTCCCGCTGCGCCACGAAATCGTGGACAACCCATCGGCCTTGGACCACCTGCAGGACAAGGCCGATTCCCCTCACGTCAGCGGCAACGAGGCCGAGACGGTGTCGCTGACCCCCGTGGAGTCCTTCTCGCTGATCTCCATCTCCCACTCCCTCTACGAGAACCGCCTGCCCTCCGACTTCTTCAACCCCATCGTGCGGGACACGCTGCTCTTCTACGCCGAGCAGGGCGACGTGCAGACGGCCGTGTCCGTGCTCATCGTGCTGGGAGAGCGCATCCGCAAGGAGATCGATGAGCAGACGCAGGTAGAGCCCCCACGGGCAGGGCCACGCCTTGCTGGGACCCACAGGGGGTGCATCCCGATGGGATGGGGTCCTGCCTGGGGCTGGGGCACGTCCCTTCTCCTCCAGCCCCTGGCAGGCCAGCTCTGAGCCACGGTGAGCAGCTCCAGGGTTCCGGTGCCTGCCCCACCACCAGTCCTGGCAGGGATTTGGGGTGGGCCCTGTGGAGGTGCCCTGGCCCTGTTGATGCAGGGAAGGATGCTGTTCCCCAGTGTTGCAGAGCCATTCTCCCACTGCAGGGATCGGAGGACCACGGAATGCTTTCAGTTGGAAAAGCCTTCTAACATCATCGAGTCCAACCATCCCCCCAGCACTGCCAAGGCCACCAGTGAACCATGTCCCCAACTGCCACATCACACAGCTTTTAGATCCTCCCAAGGGAGGGCGACTCCACCACTGCAATGGGCAGCCTGTGCCAATACTTGACCATCCCTTCCATGAAGAAATTCTCCCTAATATCCAAACTAAACCACCTCTGGCACAGCTTGAGGCCATTTCCCCTTGTCCCGTCCCTGTTCCCTGGGAGCAGAGCCTGACTCCCATCCACCTCCATCCTCCTGTCAGGGACTTGTAGGGTGAGAAGTCCCCCTCCCCAAGCCTGCTTTTCTCCAGGCTGAGCCCCCCAGGGGAATCTTGCCTTCAGGATGCAGGGCTGGGGTCCTGAGGGGGTTTCAAGGTGGATGTGGAGGCTCAGCTGTCTGTGGCTGTCCCCAGGAGCACTGGTACACGTCCTACATCGACCTGCTGCAGCGCTTCCAGCTCTGGAACATCTCCAACGAGGTGATCAAGCTGAGCACCTGCCGTGCCATCAACTGCCTCAACCAGGCTTCCACCACCCTGCACGTCAACTGCAGCAACTGCAAGCGGCCCATGAGCAACAGGGGCTGGATCTGCGACAGGTGAGGGGGCCCTGAGGGGCTTTTGGGTACAGGGGCATGGGTGAGTGCCCCTGTTCCCTCTTGTTGCCCCCCTGAGGGCTCTCCCTGCCCACACCCACCCAAATCTCCCCGTGCAGGTGTCGGCAGTGTGCCAGCATGTGTGCCGTGTGTCACCACGTGGTGAAGGGGCTCTTCGTCTGGTGCCAGGGCTGCAGCCACGGCGGCCACCTGCAGCACATTATGAAGTGGCTGGAGACCAGCTCCCACTGCCCCGCTGGCTGCGGCCACCTCTGCGAGTACACCTGAGCCCCCCAGGGTGCACCTGAGCCCCCCAGGGTACACCTGAGCCCCCCAGGGTGCACCTGAGCCCCCCCAGGGTACACCTGAGCTCCCAAGGGTACACCTGAGCTCCCAAGGGTGCACCTGAGCCCCCCCCAGGGTACACCTGAGCCCCCCCAGGGTACACCTGAGCCCCCCAGGGTACACCTGAGTCCCCAAGGGTGCACCTGAGCTCCCAAGGGTACACCTGAGCCCCCCCAGGGTACACCTGAGCTCCCCAGGGTGCACCTGAGCCCCCCAGGGTACACCTGAGCCCCCCGCCCGCGGGGAGCTGGCAGCGGGGTGGGGCAGGGGCAGAGCAGGGCAGGCAGCGTGCCCTGCCCGATACCCCTGGCACTGCCCTCCCTGTATTTATTTGTGTAAATAAGGGCTGGGGTGCACCCCCTGCCCGGCCGTTTTTTACTGGATTAAATCAAACCAGCAGTTGAATCGAGCCATGACTCCTGTCTTTGCTTCGCCTGGATGCAGCGGCCCCTGGGCTGGGCCCCGGACCCGCTGCGGCCGGGTGCCGGCCCTGCGGTGTCCCCGGTGTCCCCGGTGTCCCCATGCTCTTGTCCCCTTGTGCCTCACTTGAAGCCGGGACGTGGGGCTGGCTTTCACTGCCCTTTTAAGTGTGGCCCTTACCGGGACCCGTACCGGCGCGCCCAGCCAATGACCGTGTCCATTCGATTCGCAGTGCATGCCGGGAGTTGTAGTTCCCGCTGTCTCCGGTGCCGGCCCCCATGGCGGCGGCGCGGCTGCTGCCGCTGCTGCTGCTGCTGGGCTGGGTCCGGCCCGGCGCCTGCACCGACCCGCCGGGCGGCGGCTGGTGAGGGCAGGGGGCTTGCCCCGGGACCGCTCCCTGTGCCGGTCCTGGTGCCGGTACCGAGCGGAGTCTCCCGTTGCAGGCTGGCGGGCACGGTGCCGGAGGAGCCACGCTGCACCGTGGAGCGAGCGGATGCCTCCCTCACCTACCCCCTCTTCCTGCAGCGGTACGGGGCACCCGGCATGGTCCCGAACTGAGGCGGGGGCCGGGGGACAGCCCCGGTGCACCGGGCGGGCTAACGGGGAGGGGCGGGGGGAACCGGGAGTCCCGGGGGAGAACCTGGGGGAAGGTGGTCGGGACGGATGCCGGTGCCCCGGGGTGGGTCGGGTTCGTCCCGGTGTCCCGGGATGGGTCAGTGCCGGTCCCCGTGCTCCGGCCGTGCGGGACCCCGCTGGATGCCGCCCCCAGGTTCGCCTTCTCCCGGCCACTGATCCTCGGTGGGGTCACGGACAATTCGGTGAGTACCGGGACGGGGCAGAGGATGCCGGGTGGGACGGGGCAGAGGATGCCGGAGCAGCATCCCGGCTCCCTGCGCTCCATCCCGCAGGCCTTCCGAGCCCTCTGCACCCGGGAGAAGCTGCTGGCCGCCTTCGGGCCCTTCCCGGTGCGGCTCAGCACGGCCAACACCTACTCGTACCGCAAAGGTGAGCGCGGGGCCGTGCCCGGCTGCGGGGGTCCCGCTCCCCCGTTCCCCCCTCCGCTCCCCCGCTCACCCTCCGTTCCCGCAGTGGATGTGCCGTTCCAGGAGTACGTGGAGCAGCTGCTGAAGCCGCAGGACCCGGCCCGCCTGGGCAGCGGTGGGTAGCGCCGTCCCGACCCCCGCAGCCCCCTCCCCTCGCCGGGCTCAGCTCCCGTGTCCCCCCAGACACCCTCTACTTCTTCGGGGACAACAACTTCACCGAGTGGGGCCCCCTCTTCCAGCACTATGTGCCCCCTCCCTTCCGCATCCCGGGCACCAGCCCCGCCTACAGCTTTGGGATCGCAGGTGGGTGTGCGATGGGATCGGGTTTGGGATGGGATCGGGATCAGGTTTGGGATGGGATCGATGGGATCAGGATGGGATCGATGGGATCGGGATGGGATCGATGGGATTGGGATGGGATCGATGGGACTGGGATGGGATCGATGGGATCGGGATGGGATCGATGGGATTGGGATGGGATCGATGGGATTGGGATGGGATCGATGGGATCGGGATGGGATCAGTGGGATTGGGATGGGATCAATGGGATCGGGATGGGATCGGGTTTGGGATGGGATCGATGGGACTGGGATGGGATCGATGGGATCAGGATGGGATCGATGGGATTGGGATGGGATCGATGGGATCGGGATGGGATCGATGGGACTGGGATGGGATCGATGGGATTGGGATGGGATCGATGGGATTGGGATGGGATCGATGGGATCAGGATGGGATTGATGGGATCGGGTTTGGGATGGGATCGATGGGACTGGGATGGGATCAATGGGATCGGGATGGGATCTATGGGATCGGGATGGGATCGGGTTTGGGATGGGATCGATGGGACTGGGATGGGATTGATGGGATTGGGATGGGATCGGGATGGGATCGGGATGGGATTGATGGGATTGGGATGGGATCGATGATGGGATCGGGCCGGGTCTGGGGGCTCTCCCCAGCACCAACCCCCGCTCCCGCCAGGCTCCGGCTCTGGCGTTCCCTTCCACTGGCACGGCCCTGGTTTCTCTGAGGTGATTTTCGGCAGGAAGGTGAGAACTCAGCCCTGGGGGAAGGATTTGGGGAGGGGGCAGAGAAACCAACCCCTGCCAGGTGTCCCTGGGCACGGGGAAGCCCCTCTGGGGCTGAGCCCGAGGGGCTGGAGGGGATGTGGGAGGGGATGTGCCCCCGGTGTTTTGCAGCGCTGGTTTCTGTACCCGCCGGACCAAACCCCGCACTTCCACCCCAACGAGACGACGCTGGCCTGGCTCCAGCACACCTACCCCACGCTGCCGCCCGCCCAGCGCCCGCTGGAGTGCACCCTGCGCCCTGGGGAGGTGAGCCAGGGCTGCAGGGCACCCCAGGAGTCCGGCCAGAGCCCTGGGACCCACTGGTGTCCCCTGCAGGTCCTGTACTTCCCTGACCGCTGGTGGCACGCCACGCTCAACCTGGACACCAGCGTCTTCATCTCCACCTTCCTGGGCTAGGACGTGTCACCACCATCCCAGCCAGGCCAGGAGCTCCAGCTCCTGCCACCCTCAGGGAAAGGCCACTGCTCTTAGGACCAACTGCCTGGGAAAGTTCTGGATTTTACTGGTCTTTGCCCTTGGATTAAAGCTGTTCTAGTGAAGCACGCTGTGTGTTGCTACGTCCCTGGGGCAAACCTGGTCCCCATGGGATGGCACTGATTCCCAAGCCAGGATATCCCCAAAAATGGCTGCTGTGAAGCACTCCAGGTCCTTTTCCACGTTTATTGCTGAACTTTTTTTTTTATTCTTTTTATATATATATATATTCTTTTAATGGACATTGGCAAACTTCCAGAGGGTGCTCAAAAGCCAGGCAGGCCATCGGCAGACCACAACGCTGGAATCTCAGTTGGATGCAAAACTGGTGGTTATTTTTTGTGGGGTTTTTAAGGGATTTCATTAAAAGGAAGAAGAACTTTAACTCAGGTGGTTGTTCTTAGGGAACCACAGTCCCAGTGGGGAAGGGGAGGTGGGAAGCAGCCCCTTCCAGCCCTGGGGCAGTTGTTTACCAGGAAAAGCCAGAGGGTGCATCAGCATCCCAGTAAGTGGCTGTTTACTGGGAAGAGGACCCAACCCTGGCCAGGCAGGAGGTGGAAGGAGGAGGAGGAAACAACTCTAACCACAGGGAAGGACGGGGCTCCAGGTGCTCCTCCCGGCAAGGCCCCTGTGGCAATCCCTGGGGCGGGACGTGCTCTGTGGGGACTGTGGCTGCCCTGGCTGGGGGGTGACAGACACGATGGAGGAGCCAGCATTCCAACCCCCAGGCAGGTCCTGGAGCCGGAGAGGGCAGCCAGGGAGCCGTGGTGCCCGCCCAGCCGCCGCGGCTCCTCGGGAAGGGGACGTGGTGACGTGCCCTCGCCCAGCGCCAGGGCAGCCGGGGCAGAGGGGAACAGCCGGAGAGCGAGTAAGGCAGGGTGCCAGCCCGGGGAGAGCCAGCTGTGCCAGGGTGCCACCCCGGCCCCTCAGTAATCCTCCACCCAGCCGTTCTCCGAGATGAACGCGTCTATCACCTCCTTCATGGCGAGGTTGGGGATCAGCTGGTCCTGGGTCAGGGGACTCCGCGTCACCGGGTCGAAATGCCCCACGCGCTGCGGGGAGGAGTGCAGGGAACCGGTTACTCCACGTGCCGCGCTCTGCCCCGAGGCACGGGCGGCGTGAGGCCAGCGCCGCGTGGCATCTGCCCCAGCACCCGGGCACCTGCCCGCAGCAAGGGGGACAGCCCCTCAGAGGTGCCTCCCAGCAGGATGAGGGCAGGTCAAGGGGTGAGACCCCCGCCAAGAGCCGCCTCCGCTTTGGGCAGGGCCTGGCAGCACCTGCTCCACAGGGAGCTGCCCGGGCAGGTAACCGGGACCAAACCCAAGGAGCCTGTGGAGCCCAGAGTTGAGCAAAAAGATCCTTTCCCACCCAGGCAAGGTGCTGGGAAAGCCCCCTGCAGTACCTGGAGATGCTCCTCAATGTCCTTCCTGTCGTAGGTGATCCCGCTGGGCGTGATGCAGGGCTCTCTCATCAGCTCAAAACTGATCTTCCCACACAGGTAGTCAGGGATGTCCCGCTTCTGTCTCGAGAGAGGCACAGCTGGGTCAGCAAAGGGGAACAGGGTACACAGAAGGTTTACAGGAGCACAGGCTGGGCCACACTCACCTTCCTCTTCTCGTCCACTTGGGAGAAGAGCTCGTCCATGTCTGCCAGGTATTTGTCCTGAAAGAGAAGCTCTTGAGGACAAGGGGTCCCTGGTGTGTGGGGGCTACAGGACCCCAGGGAGAGCCCCAAACCTCCCATCATGGGTGCTGTGGCCGGTCCTTGGTGCCCCCTCTGCCTGTGCAGCTCCTGGTTGAAGCTGGCAGGAGCAATCCAGCTTACAAATAACCTTCCTTTGTGGGCCTATTTTTATCTGGGATTAGTCCCCAGCACCCAGACCCACATGTGGCTGAGAGCCACTTGTGTTTCCTCAGGGGACAACAGGCACAGCAGGCGTCACCGCTGCCAGGCTGGGACAAGAGGTGACAGAGCCGGGGAAGCCGTCATGGGGGGACACAACAGCCCTGCAGTGGTGGCTCGAGCTGCAGAATGAAGGCTACTGTGCTGCGTCCCAAGGTCTCCCAGCTTTCACCTGCCCAGCTGCAGCACAGCATGAGGATGAGGATGTGGACGGGGAAGCCCCTAGCCCCCCACTCACGTGTTTGGCCTCGATGCTGGCCAGCTGAACACGGCTCCGGCTCTCGTCTGTGTTTTCCTCCTGCTGAGTCTTTCGGCACTCCGCCAGCTCCCTGGGACAGAGTGGGAGATCAGGAGGATGGGGGAACACTGTCACCCCCTTCCCTGCTGTAGGGCTCTGCAGAGACACCTCACACAGAGCTGTGAGAGCCTGGTGGCACTCAAAAAGCTTCTCCAGGTGCCCCGTTACCTCTCCTTCTCGGCCACGATCAGCTTGGTCAGGTGGGAGTGCAGCTCGTTCTCCTGGTTGATGCGCTTCTCCTCGATGCTGTTCCAGCGCTTCTTCTTGGCGATGCGCAGCGCACTGGGGATGTCATCCCCGAAATTCAGCCGCTGCTCCTTGGCGAGGTTGTAGGCTGGGGAGAGAAAGGGCACCTCAGTGCCAGCGTCCCTGCCGCCCTCCCTGGCCCTTTCCCAGCAGACAGGAGCAGGGGACGGTGGCAGCGTGCCCGCTCACCTCTCTGCAGGTTGGCAATGGCCTCGTCGTAGTTTTCCATCTCCATCTGGCACTGGCCCAGGAAGAAGTGAGCCTTCACGGACTGCCCGTCCAGCTCCAGCGCCCGCTTGCAGTCGGCCAGCGCCTTGTCGTGCTGCTGCATCTTCAGGTAGCACAGGGCCCGGTTGGTGTAGTACACGGCCACCAAGGGGTTCCGGTTCTGCAGGGACAGGCCCATGTCGGTGCTGGCGGTCGGTGACAGCCCGGTGACTCGGTGAGCCAGCGGCACGGCGCTGTCACCCTGGGCAGGGACAGCCAGCAGTGCCAGCCGGGGCGTGCACCCCGTGGGGAGGTGCTGCCATGGATTGGGGACAGGCTGGGGACGGTCCCCATAGGGCAGCCCATGTCCCTGCCCCCAAAGGGGACTGTCCCCCTGGCATCTCGACTGTCCCAGGCTGATCTGCCCTACCAGCACAGCCCAGGGACAGTGTGGGGCTTGGGGAAACAGGCTCAGGGGGGGCAGGGCAGGCCAGCTTGGAGTGGGGTGGGGAGAGGATGGGCTGGGGGTGTCCAAGTCCAGAGAGCGGGGCAGGGTCAGGGGGTGCCTAGTCCAGGCCCAGGATGGGGGGAAGCAGCCCCAGAGCTGTGTCCAGCCCTCCCCAGGAGGAGCCAGGCTCAGGGAGGGAACAGTGACCAGATTAAAAGGTTCCATGTCAGGGGTGTCTTGGCCAGGCCCTGAGGAAGAACAGTGCCCAGCCCGAGGAGGTTCCATCTTGCTGATGTCCAGGCCAGGGCTCGGGAGATGTCCAGGCAGGGGGAAGGCAAGATGGATGTCCCATCTTGCGGGAGTCAAGGCTCGGTGTGTGGGGGGGTGTCCCATCCCTGGGACAGGGATGGTCAGGCCAGGTCCGGGCGGGTGTCCAGGCCAGGGGGGAGGTTCCAGCCCGGGGCCATCGAGGCCAGGGGGGAGGTTGGTGTGTCCCGTCCCGGGGGTACCCAGGCCGGGGCGTCCCCTCCCCGGGGCCGGTCCCGCTCGGGCCGGGGGCGCCGGCGGGACTCACGATGGCGCGGCCGTAGCAGGCGGCGGCCTCGGGGTACTTGCGGCCGCCGAAGAGCCGGTTCCCCTGCTCCTTGTGCTCCTGCGCGCTGTGGCTCTTCTCGGGGCTGCCGCCGCCCGCGCCCCCCGCGCCCGGTCCCGCCGCGCCGGGCCCCGCCGCGCCGCCCTCGCGCTCCTCCTTGCCCTTCATGGCGCGGCCCGGGCCGGCGCTGGGGCCGCGGCTCCGCTGGCTCGGCGGCCCCGGGGCTCCGGCGGCTCCGGCGGCTCCGCTCCGCCGCTCCGGCCGCGCACTGCGACAGCGCCGCTTCCGGGGCGGGGCGGGGCGGGGCTTGGGGGGGCGGGGCCTACGGCAGACCGGGGTGCTGATTGGTGGGCGGGGTAATCGTTAGGGGCGGGGTTATGTATATTAGGGGCGTGGCTCGTCAGCCGGGGGTGGGCGGGGCTCCTGAGGGGGCGGGGCTAAGGGGAGCCCGGCGAGGGGCGTGGTCAGTGGCGGTGGGCGTGGCCTGGTGTGGGTTATGGGATTGAATGGGGATGATGGATGGGGGGATTGAGGTGTGGTTTGTGGGTTTGTGGGGTTTGTGGGGTTTATGGGGTTTGGTGGGGTTTCTGGGGTTTGATGGGGTTTATGGGGTTTGTGGGGTTTATGGGGTTTGTGGGGTTTATGGGGTTTGTGGGGTTTGGTGGGGTTTGATGGGTTTGATGGGTTTGATGTGGTTTGATGTGGTATATGGGGTTTGTGGGGTTTATGGGGTTTGATGGGTTTGATGGGGTTTATGGGGTTTTGGGGGTTTGTGGGGTTTATGGGGTTTAATGGGGTTTGATTGGGTTTATGGGGTTTGATGGTGTTTATGGGGTTTGATGGGAGCAGGGCATACAGAGGGGCGCGGGAGGATGGATGAGGGGCCTTTCTGGAGGGGATGGGGGTGAAAAGGGGTGTTGGGGGTGTGAAAAGGGGGATGGGGGAGGCAGCATGGAGCTGATGGGGGGTGGGCACCGGGGGACTCGCTGTGGGGTGGGTGTGAGTGGGGGGCTGGGGGTGTGATGGGGCGGGTGGTCTGCAAACCCCCCTCACCCCATGCCCCACCCCGCGGGGCCCGGCGGTGCCGCTCCACTTATCCCGGAGCTTTCTGCTCCAGTAACTCCCGACCCCGCTGAGCCCCCCCGGGCCCCGGGCCAGGCAGCCCCGGCACCCGCCCTGCCCCCCATCAGGGCTGGGGGCACCCCAAAACCCCCGCCCCCCATAGAGACACGAGCCCCCGCAGTGTGCAAAATATTTATTTATACTTCAAAAAGGTCTGGGGGGGGTCAGAGCGGGGACCCCCCGCGCCCCCATCCCGAGGCAGCAAAGCGGGGTCGGGGCGCGGGGAGGGGGGGCTGTGCCCCGAGGGCACTGCCAAAAAATGAGTTGTGCCGGTCTCAGCCGATTCCTGCCGGGCTCTCCCCACATCCTTCTTTTTTTTTATCTTTTTTATTATTATTCCTCTTTCTTTTATTTATATTTATTTTGGCATAGAAAAATAAATCGCTCCTCTTTTGGCACCAGTCCTCCGTGTGAAAGTGCAGGTCCCGGGAAGGGGATCCGGGGGTCCCGGGGGCTGTCCCGGCCCGGTTCCTTCCCGGGGGGCGGTACCGGGGCAGGGCCGGAGCGTCCTTTGGGGACGGGGGCGGCGGGGGGAACCGGGGCGGGGGCGGCGCGCTCGTAGCACCGAGGGGACAGGCGGGCGGGGGTGGCCTGTCCCCATGTCACGCGCGGGGACCCCCCCAGCCCCTCCGCCGGGCTCGGGAACCGAACGAACCGCAGGGTCGGGCTAGGGAGGGGGGGGGATCTGTGCCCCCAGCAGGTCGTAGGCGAAGATGTTCCAGAAGACGGCGAAGAGCAGGAAGGTGCCGTAGGAGAGCAGCAGCACCCACCAGCCGCACTGGTCCTGCAGGCTCTCCTCGTAGCTGCGCAGGATGGTCAGCCCCATGCTGATGCCCACGATGGCCCCCGCCAGGTGCGCCATGAAGCTGGGCTGGGGTCCCGAGGCCGGCAGCGGCGGGGAGAAGCGGAGCCACACGGCGCGACCCACCTCGGAGCTCACTGCGGGACGGGCGGGAGGTGCTGAGCCCGCCCGGGGCCGCGGGACCGGGCAGAGGGACCGGGCAGAGGGACGGGGACGGTACTCACTGCACACCAGCGCCAGCACCATCCGCAGCAGCTTGTAGGGACAGCGCATCCCGGCCCAGTTCTGCGGGAACGGAGCGGGGAGGGATGGATGGATGGATGGATGGATGGATGGATGGATGGATGAGGGATGGATGGATGGATGGATGGATGGATGGATGGATGGATGGATGGATGGATGAGGGATGGATGGATGGATGGATGGATGGATGGATGGATGAATGGATGGATGGATGGATGATGGATGATGGATGGATGGATGGATGGATGGATGATGGATGGATGGATGGATGGATGGATGGATGGATGATGGATGGATGGATGGATGATGGATGGATGGATGGATGGATGGATGGATGAGGGATGGATGGATGATGGATGGATGATGGATGGATGGATGATGGATGGATGGATGAGGGATGGATGGATGATGGATGGATGGATGGATGATGGATGGATGAGGGATGGATGGATGGATGGATGATGGATGAGGGATGGATGGATGGATGATGGATGGATGGATGGATGGATGATGGGCTGGCACAATCAATGCTCCAGCACAGAGGTGGGGACTGCTGCCAGAGCCCCTGGAGTGCCCCGTGGAGCCCCTTCAGGTCCCTGCTCCTCCCCACCCACGCCCACCCCATGATGCCACCCAAGGTGGTCCCTCTGTGACAGTGCCACCCCTAATGCCACCCCACAGCATCCCCCACCAATGCTGCCCACCCACAGTGCCAGCCACCCCATGGCATCCCCCCATGATGTCCCACCACCGTGCCCAACCTGCAGACAGCTCCTGTCCCCATTGTCACCCCATGGCATCCCCCACCGTGCTGCCCACCCTACAGAGTCATCCACCCCTGTCCCCCCTCTGTGTCCCCTCGTCCCCTGCTGACCATGACGACGTTGGCGAGGTGAGCAGAGCAGAGGGCGTAGACCCCCCCGGAGCCCCCGACCAGGGGGGCCCTCATGTCCGTGATGGAGACGGTGAGGGAGCCTGGGGGCACAGACAGGGCTCAGCACGGGGTCTCGCCCCACAGCATTAATTAATTGCTGTCTACATTAATTAATTACGGCCTGCATTGCCCCCCAGCCCCTGGCCAAGTGATGCAGAGTGGCAGCCAGCAGAGCCCAGCATCCCCACCAAACTCGATGTGACCTCCCCGTGCCCCCCCGGGCTGGTGACAGGGACTCGGGGTGGGGGTGATGGGGACAGTCCCCCCCTTTGGGCAGCACGCACCTGCCAGGACCCCGGCCAGGTAGAGGAAGCTGATGCGCAGGATGCCGTGCACCATCTCCAGGGGCACCCCGATCATCAGCTGCAGGAGGGCGTTGAACCCCAGCTGCTCCAGCCTGCCCGGGCACAGGAGGGGACAGGCTCAGCCTGCACAGCCCCCAGGGTGTCCCCAGTGTCCCCCCCTGGCAGGACCTACCCCACGTGCATGAACATGTAGGTGAGGAAGCGCCAGGCGCGCGCCCGGTGCCCGGGGTGATAGACCAGGGGGCTCTTCATGTACTCGGGGTGGTAGGTCTGCAGCACCCACTTGTTCAGCCGGGCCCCGTAGCACAGGAACACGATGATCTGTGACAAAGCCCGTGGCTGTCACCCCCCCTTCACCCCACAAGGGCACCAGGATGTCACAGCTGGGGTCACCCATCCCCACTGCCCCGGCTCTGGGTCCCACACGTGGGCACAAGGACATCACAGACACAGTCCTCACTCCCTTCACTCCAGATGTGAGTCCCTCAAGGGCACCAGGACATCACAGCTGGGGTCACCCGTTCCTTCTACCCTGGATCTGAGCCCCTCCACGGGTCCCATCCATGGGCACAAGAACATCACCACTGGGGTCACCCATCCACCTCTGTCTGGGGTCTCAGCACCACCACGGACACCAGGACATCACAGCGAGGGCCACCCAAACCTTCACCCCATATCTGAGCCCCTCTGTGAGCACCAGAACATCACAGCCCCACTGCCTCAGGTGAGAGTCACCCATATGGGCACAAAGATGTTGCGTCCAGGGTCACCCATCCCTTCATGCCAGCTCAGCGTGCCCCAGCAGCTCACAACCAGGCTGACCCACGCTGCCCACCCCGGTCTGATCCCTGCCAAGGTCCGGGACCCTCCCGCGGGGCCAGCCGGGCACCCCGGTGCCGTACCTGGGTGAGGGTGACGGCTGCCATGAAGACGGGGGGCGGGCAGGTGCGGTGCTGGTAGAAGTACCAGCGTCTGTCCATCTCGCAGGGCAGGATCTCGTAGGCCACGTAGCGGACGAAGCGTTTGTAGATGCCCAGGCCGGTCTCGTCCAGCAGGACATCGCGGGGCAGCGCCCGCTGCCCGTTGGCGATGGCGCGTTTGAAGCTGCTGGAGCGTTTGCTGCTGATCTGCGGGGAGAGACAGCTCGGCACGGCCCCGCCACCCCCCCAGGGCACACCCTGGGGCCCACCGGTGTCTGCCCCCCTCCCTGGGGACACCGGGAGGTGCCCACCGCCCGCCCCGGGCTGGCACCCGCGCCGCCGGGCACTGACCAGATCTACCAGCTCCTGGTAGCAGACCTGCCCCTCGTCGTTGCCCTGTGCCAGGGCCACCAGCATGTCGAGCTTGGCGGGGTCCAGGGGCAGCTCATGGCTGTGCACCAGGCTGGCGAAGGTCTCCACGCCGATGAAGCCGGTGTTTTCGGGGTCGAGCTGCGGGGCACGGCACGGAGCATCACGGCGGGGCCGCGGCTGCGGTTCCCTGCCGGGCTGGGGACACCTCCCGCCGTCCCCGGTGCCTCACGCCCGGCTCCGTGACACCCATCCCCGCCTGTGCCCCGTGAGGTGCCCGGTGCCGTGCCGCTGTCCCCGGCTCCGTGACACCCATCCCCGCCTGTGCCCCGTGAGGTGCCCGGTGCCGTGCCGCTGTCCCCGGCTCCGTGACACCCATCCCCGCCTGTGCCCCGTGAGGTGCCCGGTGCCGTGCCGCTGTCCCCGGCTCCCCGCGGCGCAGCCGACACTCTCCCACTCAGTTATTTCTCGCCGCCAGCAGCCTGCCAGCCGGGAAGTCACCAAGCTAAACACACGCGCAGCCCTGGCACCAGCCTCCTCCTCCTCCTCCTCCTCCTCCTCCTCCTCCTCCTCTCCTCCTCCTCCTCCCGCTCCTCCCGCCGCCCTTGCCGCCGGCCGCACCCCGTGCCACCCTCGGGGCACCCCGAACCTCCAGGGACAGCGGACACGGACCGCTCATGGGCACAGAGTGCCCGGGATGGCACGGGAGAGTGGAGCTGGGGAGAGGCACCCACGGGCAGAGCACAGCCCCTGCAATCACCCTGAGGTGCTGTGGGGATTGCTCCTTGCTGCTGCAGGGAGGGGAGCGCGGGACAGGAGCCTCACCCTCGTGGGGTGGGCAGGAAAGGAGTGTTTGGGACATGGGATCCTCTCCCCACCGGGTGGGCACCCTGTCCCTCCCTGTTCCCCCGGCAGGAAACTGCCACTGCCTCTTCCCAAGGGGGTTTGGCTGCCCGGAGAGGGGTGCAGGGTGGGATGGGGGTGTAGGGTGGGATGGGGGGTGCAGGGTGGGATGGGGGTGCAGGGTGGGATGAGGGGTGCAGGGTGGGATGGGGGTGCAGGGAGGGATGGGGGTGCAGGGTGGGATGAGAGGTGCAGGGTGGGATGGGGGTGCAGGGAGGAATAAGGGGTGCAGGGAGGAATAAGGGGTGCAGGGTGGGATGGGGGGTGCAGGGAGGGATGAGGGGTGCAGGGAGGGATGGGGATGCAGGGTGGGATGGGGATGCAGGGTGGGATGAGGGGTGCAGGGTGGGATGAGGGGTGCAGGGTGGGATGAGGGGTGCAGGGAGGGATGGGGATGCAGGGTGGGATGAGGGTGCAGGGTGGGATGAGGGGTGCAGGGTGGGACGAGGGGTGCAGGCAGCACCTGCAGCCTCTCAGCAGCCACCAGCCCATGGGAGCAGCCCCGGCCGTGGGGGGCAGGAGCACCCTGGTGTCACCCGTCCCCCTGCCCCACACCCGTCACCCCACAGGCTCCACGTGTGTGTGTCGCGCCGGGACCTGGCACACGCTGTCCCCATGCTGGCACACGCTGAGCCACCGGCCCCAAGAGCGCCAAGAGCCCTGTCAGCACCCAGGGAACCCCTTTCTGCTTTTGGGGTGCATGTCCCCCCACCCCAACCTCACTGGCACCCTGCGACCCCCCGGGAGGGCCCAATCCCCAGCCCCCAGCCCCCCCAGCACTGCTCATTCCCGGGGAAGATGCTGCTCACTCCCGACGAGCTCGGGCTCACACGGGGTCCCTGTGCCCGAGGGTGGGTGACATGGGGGACAGCACCGCGGCTCCCGGGCCGGGGGACTCAGCCAAGGTCACGGAAACAGCGGGGGGCGAGTGGGGGATCACTTCATTTTCCTGACCCGCGGGAAATTCCAGCCCCGTGCCCAGGGGAGAGCTGCCAGCTGGGCCAGGGCAGGGTGGGGATGGAGGGACGAGGCGATGGAGCTCAGGTGGGGCCGGTGGGGGCCGGGGGACCGCGGGTGGAAACCCCCGGAGGCCCCGCGGTGCCGCGAGCAGAGCCCCACGCCGCGCAGCGCTGATGCTCCACGGCCTCATCCCGCAATCAGGTCACGGGGGGTGGGTGCAGACCCCCGCCCCGCCGGCGGGACCGAGCCCACGGCACCCCCGGGGCTCCACCCGGCACCCAAACCCCCGTGCCCAGCACCCCTCGTCCTTGAGGGCGCAGCGGGCGGAGGGAGAGGCCACAAGTGAGATGAGCCGCGCGTTCTCAGCGGCACAAGGCGGGGGATGCCCCGGGGCGGCGATGAGGGCACCGAGGGGCGCTGGCGGGGGTGGCACGGCCGCGGTGGCCGCCCTGAGCGGGCAGCGCTGCCCGCGGCGCGCCAGCCGTGCCCGGTGCGTGCGAGCATCCCCGCCCCGGTAGCGGCGGCCCGTGTCCGGTGGGGCCCCCCCCGAGCGCAGCCCGGTGCCCGGTGCCCCCCGGGAGGCTCACCTGCTCCTGGATCAGCTGCAGCAGGGAGCTCCTGTCCATGCACCCGGCGGGCTGAGGGCTCCGCCGCTCCCCGCGCCCGGGGCCGGCGAGCCGGGCAGGGGAGCGGCGCGGGCGGCGGCGGCGGCGGCGGGGGCGGCTCTCCCCGCCAGCCCCGCGTTGCGGCGGGCCCGGGAGCGAGCGGCGAGCGGCGGCGCCGGGAGCCGCCGATGGCAGCGGGGCGACGGCGGCGGCGGGGGCGGGAGCGGAGCCGAGCGGAGCCGCCCCCGCCGCAGCGCGCGGCGCAGCGCCCCCCCCCCCCCCCGCACCCCCTCCCGCCGCCGCCGCCGCCGCCGCCGCGCGGGGAACCGGGACCCGCCCCGCCCCGCCCCGCCCCGCCGGCAGCGCCGGGACACGGCCCACGGCACGGGCGGAGAGCCCACACCCGGCGCTCGCAGCGCGGGATGGTGCCGGCAGCCCGGTACGGCTGCGGACATCCCGGTACGGGTACCCACATCCCGGTATGGGAGTCTGCATCCCGGTACAGGTATCTGCATCCTGGTACCGGTACCCACATGCCAGTACCGGTACCCACATCCCGGTATGGGAAACTGCATCCCGGTATGGGTAACCACATCCCGGTATGGGAACCTGCATCCCGGGATGGGAACCTGCAGCCCGGTATGGGAACCTGCATCCCGGTATGGGTAACCACATCCCGGTATGGGAACCTGCATCCCGGTACGGGAACCTGCATCCCAGTATGGGAACCTGCATCCCAGTACAGGTATCTGCATCCCAGTACCAGTACCCACATCCCGGTACAGGTATCTGCATCCTGGTACCGGTACCCACATGCCAGTACCAGTACCCACATCCCAATATGATAACTACATCCTGGCATGACACCTGCATCCCAGTGTGGTATCTACATCCCAGTACTGGCACTCACATCCCAGTACTGGTACCCATATCCTGGCCCAGTTCCTGCCTCCCAGAACAGCTCTGTGGATTCCTGCATCCCACTCCCCATGTCCCAGCACTGATACTCACACCTGCTATGGGACCTGGGTCCTGCTGTGATCTCTGTGTCCCGGGACAGGGTCTGCATCCTGGAATGGGAACCTGTGTTCCATTTCCAGTGCTGCATCCCAGTACAGGTCCATGTATTCCTGCGTCCACATGCCGGTACATGGTTTTGCAGCTGCACCCTGCTAGAGGAATCCATTTGCAGCCACCTGTGCCAGATTCAAACATCCCCTCATGCTGACCCTGCACCCACAGGCCAGCCCAGTCCGGGTACATCCCGCATGGCACAGGGGCCACAGAGCCTCCCCTGCTGTCCCCTGCCCAGCACCGTGCTCAGGGGACAGCCTGGCACTGCGCCCCTGCAACTGGCACCTCTACGGGACGTGCCCAGCATCACCCAGGCCGGGCAGGGGTGTCCCCAGGAGCCACCCCTGGTACTGTCCCCACTTCCCAGAGCCACGGCTCAGCCCCACGGAGGTGCCCAGGGAGCTCTGGGCTCCCCAGCCCTCCAGGCCTTTCCCTGGGGACAGGCTGGGGTCCCACGGCCCTGCCAGGCGTGTGCCCTGCCCCACAGCCGTGTCTGTGCCCCACACCAGCGCTGCTCATACCCAGCAGGGCACGTGTGCCCGCAGCTCCCGTGGGATCCAGCCCGGTTTGGAGTCACCCGGGAGCAGCGCGTGTCTGTCCCCTCGGGATCGCCTCCTCTGCTGGCACGGCAGCACAGGGCTGTCCCCCACCCCTGTCCCCTGGCTGGCTGCGTGGGAAGGGTCTCCTCTCCCACCCCACAACCCCTCATGTGGGAGCGGTCCGACCCCATCCAGGGCCAGTGCAGAGGCTCTGGAAAATCCTTTTCTCCGGCTGCGCCCACATTCCCTGTGCCCAGAGCCCGTGGCTGAGGCTGCAGAGACAGAAATAGCTGAGGGAAAAGCTGCCGTGGCAAAACAGGACCAGGGAGAGAAGGTGGAACAGCCCTGGGAGACGCAGGGGCAGGGGGAAAGTCTGCAGAAATGGGGAGCCCCAAACCCCACACGGGGACAGGCACAGAGATCCACAGAGCCCAGGAAGCTCCTGCTTCCCATGGATCCCGGGCAGAGAACCACGGGATGGATCCATCACCTCCTTCCCATCTCTCCACCCTGGCTGGCACTTGTACAAGGATCCGTGTCCCCAAGCACCTGGCCAGCCCCAAGCCTTGTCCCACCACACCAGGCCCTAAATGGCAGAAACTGTCCCCAAACGGGGCAGCCCGGGCAGGGTCCTGCTCCCCAGGTGACACAGGACACGGTGTGCAAGCGCAAGGTGTGTAAAAATTTATTTTGCTGTAGAGAACAAACTCCAAACATTCCAGCCCCAGCAGATGTGGAGCACGGAGACACCAGGCACGGGCCCGGCTGGCAGAGCCACGCACGGTGGGCACAGAGAAGGACATTGAACACCAGGGACGTGGCCCTGGCGGTGCCCGATGGGCAGAGCAGCTCCAGCACAGGCAGGGACACCCGGCTGGGGACAGCAGGATGGGGACACCACCCTGGGGGTGTCCCTGGGTGCTACCCTGTGATTTCTCCATCCCCTCGCTGGCTCCAGGCCACGATAAAACATTTAAATAGACAAAACACAGAAAAAGCAGCTCTGGGTGCAACCCTGAGCGTGCTGGGGATGCCAGGCTGGTGGCAGGGCCAGGCTGGTGGCAGGGCCAGGGCTGATCCAGGCTCCCCTGGGGGGACAGGAATGCAGGGATGGGGGCTGGCCTTGCTCTTTGGGACTTGCAGACAGGGACGTTGCCCCAGTGGGTGCTGAGCTCAGCCCCAGCAGCTGCAACCAGCTCAGGTGTGGGCAGGGCACAGGAGACAGGACAGAAGGAGCTTCCAGTGGTGGCAGGAGAGGCAATGCCCACAGCCCCACAGAGGGGACAGCAGGTCACAGGGCCTGCCTAGGGCACAGTGTGGCACCAGCTCAGTGATGGCACCGCCAGGGGAAGATTGGGCACACAGTGGGCATCCAACGCCCTCCCAGAGCCCTGCAAATCCTGGTGGCCATGAATGCTGGTGGCCATGAAGGGAGGGGCCAGGCCAAACAGGAGGCAGGAAAGGAGGGTGGATGGACCCGGAGCCTGGCGCACCTCACAGGATTCTTGTGTAGGAACAACAGGAAGGAGCTGAGGACAAACCCTGGCTGCCACTGTCCCCCCTGTGTCCCGGCAGGAGGGGCCAGGCCTGACCACACGCTGGGGCTGGGGGTGTCGGTGCCTGGCCCTCCCTCCCTGGCTGCCTTTGCCAGCGCTGGCTGAGGGAAAGCGGGGCAGGAGATGGAGCTGTGCCCCAGGGAGCCGCAGCCATGAGCTCATCTGACAGCTCAGCTGCTGCTGGAGCTCCCACAGGCCCCGGGAGCGCTGTGCCCTCCAGAATTGAGGGCACCAGAACAGCCCTCAGCGGAGGGGATGTGCCCAGTCCAACAGACACTGAAACACTCATGTTGGAGCTTAAAAACAAGCGTTAAAAAAATGGAACAGAATAGAAGATGAGGGTGATCCTCCAGCTGCTGGCGAGGCAGAGCTCTCCTGGCAGAGCTGCTTGCCCTGTGGCCACAGGGGCCAGGAGGCCACGGGGTGAGGCTGGCCGGTGCCAGGGGTGGATGCTGCTGGTGCTGAGAGGTCTGGCTGCACTGCTCTGCAATCCAGGCTGGGGCAAGGGAGGATTTCCTACCAGGGGCCAGCCTGAGGCGGGGCCCCTCTGGGCGTCGCTGGGGATGGGAGCTGGTGTCACAGGGACGAGCGGGGAGTGGCTCTCACTTGTTCTTGGCCAGCAGGCGGTACAGGGTGAAGCCCACCAGCGCCGTCACCGCCGCCCCCAGCGCCAGCCGCAGCCAGAAGGACGCGACTCCCAACTCCACGGCGTTCAGGTGGCTGCAAGCAAACACAGGAGAGGCTGCTGAGCGTGGCTGTGCCGCTGCTCCCACCCCAGCAGCGAGGCTGGGGGTGCCAGGGGTGAGCCCAGCACAGGGGGGAACAGCCCAGTGAGAATCTGAGCGATTCCCTGTCCCTGCAAGCGGAGCTCTCGGCACCGGGCATCACCATCCAGCCACGGGAGGGCTGTGGGGCGGATGTGGCTGTCCCCTCCCCTGCCCTGGAACAGCTCTCCAGCACCTCAATAATTATACAGGTATCTGCCTTTCTAGGTCAAGCTGCCTTTCCAACTCCCAGTGCACGGAGAGCCGGGATGCCACCACGGGGACACTGGTGACAGGACCAAAGGGCAGCGAGGGACAGGGCCCGGTGCTGCCCCAGTGTACACATTCCCTTCCCAAACACGTGCTGTCCTGCACTAACGTGCTGCTCTCCTCTCTCTCCATCCATAATTCATTCCCCACTACATCGGGGGAGCACAGCCAATCCCCGGCCCTCCATTACGCTGTTATTTATTTATACCACATACCCTAAGATATATTAAGAATATTTAAATTTTAATACTGCAGAGGGGAGGAAAAAAAAACGGCGTCAGCTCTAAAAATAAAGTTGTTTATTGAAAAGAAGCTGGAGGGAAAACTACTCACTAGTAATCCCATCCTGCCTTCCAATGCTCCCACACGCTCTCCCCGCCAGGGCTCAGCCCCTGGAGCTGGGCTCGCCCTTCCCAGCCCTGGAGCAGAGTGATTCCACTCACACGGATCCTCCTCCCATCCCACAGCCCCCTCACCTCCTCTGACCTGCCTGGTGCTGTCCTACCCCATTCCCAGCCCCTCTGGGGTGCAGCTCCTCCCAGAGACAGGCTGTGTGACAGAGGTCTTGCTTCACTGACCTCTTTTTCAGTCTGATCCTTCTCATCGGGAGAAAATAGCTGCCACCCCCCCTCCGCCCCCCCATGGGCCTTGGCAAACTAAGCTGGCTACTCCTCTTCAGCATTTTTTATCTTAGGCTTCAAAAATAAACACTCCTGTGCCAGGATCTATCTACTAAATCTGCCAGAGACATACACACAGGCAGAAGAAAACCTCCCCCCTCTGCAATTAGAGGAACAAGTGGCTTTTCTGTTTCAATTATTTGTATAAGCACATGACAGAATCACAGAACCCTGCAATGGTTTGACTGGAAAGAAACCTTAAATCTCATCTCATTCCAGCCCCTGCCATGTCCAGGGACACCTTCCACTGTCCCAGGGGGCTCCAAGCCCCATCCAGCCTGGCCTTGGGCACTGCCAGGGATCCAGGGGCAGCCACAGCTGCTCTGGGCACCTGTGCCAGGGCCTGCCCACCCTCACAGGGAACAATTCCTTCCCAATATCCCATCTAATCCTTCAGCTTAAGGCCATCCCCTCTTGTCCTGTCACTGCATGCCCTAGATGACACCAAAAGCTGCAGAGAAACCAAAACAAAAGCAATATGGCAGAGGCAAGGCTGGGATACAGCCCCCTGCCCAGGCTGTGCTCCCACCAGAGCCCCCCCATGGGAAGGATACTAACGGGAAGGTGGCAGCCATGGCCAGTTTGGTGTAGACAGCGGTGCTGGGCGGTCCCTGGCTGTGGCAGGAGAAGGGGAAGGGTGGAGGGAGGCAGTGCTTGTAGCAGAACTCAGCTGGCAAGAGCCCTGGCTGCTGGCTGGCTTCTGGCAGGTCTGTCTTGGAGGCCACGAAGACACAGGGGATCTGGCTGTCCACGTAGTGCTGCTGCAGAGAGAGGAACCCCAGTCAGAAGACCAACCCCTGGCAGAGACGGGACTGCCACAAAGGCTGATGTCCCCCAGGCCCCTGGTGAAGTCAAACAGGACCCCTGTGGTTGCCCAGGACCACTGTGAAGCCCCCCAGGGTCCCTGGCACAGGGTGCCCCAGGGTCCCTACCTTATAGATGCTGGCACAGTAGCTGAAGGATTTGGGGTCGCTCAGGCTGTAGATGAAGCAGGCGACATCACAGGCTGTGTCCGAGGGCTTTGAGAAGGTGGTGTCAGCACTGACCTCGTACAGCTGGGGCAGAGAGAGGGGACAGGGGTGTGGCACTGCAGTGTCCCGGGGCCAGCTGCTCCTCACACCAGCACATGGACCGTGCCAGCAGAGCCACAGGCACGGCCCAGCCCCCTGTGCCAGGATACAGGGACAGCCCAGCCCTGCTACGAGCCAGGCACCATTCCCTGCTCCCCCAGACTTACTATGAGGTACTTCTCCTGGCCATTGACCTGCACTGTGTTGATGGTGTAGAGGGATGGCTGTCCTGGGCTCTCCCTCTGGGCCTGTCACAAGGAAAACACCGTCTCAGGCAGTGGGGACAGGAGCAGCGCTGGGTGAGAACTGTTTCACACTGCCCTGAGCCCCGCTGAACCAACAGCCCCTGAAGGGCAGCCAGGGCCTGTGGTGAGACACGGGGCTGCTGCTAACAGGCAGGGAAAGGCACAGCCCCTGGGGACAAGCAGAGGGAGCAGAGCCACTGCTTTAGCCACAATAAGGACACCAAAGCCACCAGCATGGAGAGGGTGTGACGCACAGGCAGGGAGGGCATCACACGGGGGTCTGGCCAGGGGCAGGGAGGTGCCACCATGGGACAGATCGCTCCAGGTCCCGAGCTGTGCCTCCTGCTCCACCCTGGGAGCGTGGCCAGGCAGGGAGCAGCCACTCACCGCCAGGCTCCTGCCGAGGAAGGCCTGCAGGAAGGCGGACTTGCCTGCGCCCCGCGCTCCCAGCACCTTGCACAGGAAGACATTCCTCTGGGTCTGTCCTTTCTCCAGGTCAATCCTCTTCTCCCGGGTCACTGGCAGGAGAGAGGGTGGTGAGAGCCAGGAGGGAGCCGAGCTGTGACAGAAGGGGAGGGCATGGCTGTACCTGTGAGGGCTTGGGTCTGGGAGTCCTGCTCCGAGAGGATGGGGTAGCCCAAGTAGCCCAGGCACTCCAGGCAGCGCCGTACGTCCAGGTAAGCCACGAGCCTGGAGAGACAGGGCACGCCAGGAGGGTCAGCAAGGGCTGAGTGATGTGACCGAGGGCCAGGGAGAGGGACTGAGCTTACGTCCACTGGCAGAGGAATCCATGCAGGGAAAGCAGGCCTTTATCAGTGGTGCATACCGTGTTGTAGAGCTCGGGACCCCAGGGCACGCAGGGGAACACGCTGAAGAAGTTCTGCAGCTCTGTGTGCGACAGGGCTCCATCCTGGTCCTGCCAAAACACAGGGAGTCACCAGGGGAGGCAGGAGCCAGCCCGTGCCCAGAGGGGGCCCTGCCCCACCGGCCACCTCCCCGCTGTGCCCCGTCACAGGGATCCTGTCAATGGCAGGGATCGATCGACCGCAGCGAGGCCGGAGCTGGGCGAGCTCGGAGCCCGTGCCTCAGGGACTGCCAGCACTGCACAACAGCAAACAAGCTGTGGGATTGCAGCTGCAACCAGGCAGGACTTGTCCACGCCCACCCCACAGCCTGAGCTGCTGTTCCTGGCAGTCCTGGAGGCAGCTGTCCCACAGCAGCCTGCATCAGGCCAGCCTGGCCTTCCACAGGCCAGCTCGGCACTCGGGCTGCTGTGCCTGAAGGGGACCTGCTGGTACCTGGGCACCAGGGATGTGCATCCACTCAGTTCTGCCATTCCCCATGGCTACAGAGCTGACCTGGACACACAGGGATGTGTGTCCACCCTCTGCTGCCACTCCTGAGCCACTCCCCGTTGCCACAGAGCTGCCATACCCCAGATGCACATCACCATCTGAATAGCCAGTCCGAGCAGGTGCATGCAGATCCAATACATCCCCTTCTCCCACGCCCCAAGAGCCTGAGTTTGGCACAAACGTGTTGCTTTCTCTCCAGCCTGGCAGCCCTCCACCAGGCTGGCAGATGCTGGTGTTCGGTCCATGGCTGCTGGCCAGCAGCTGTGCCCACTTCCCAGCCTGCCTCCCTGCCCAATTCCTGCCTGCTGCAGCCAGGGCACTACAAGGGCCACGCCAGCTTGATGCCAACTCAGACCCAGTCTCTCAAAATCCAAACAGCCCTTTAGCCAAGAGTAGTGACCACAACCCCACGTCCCTGATAGGCCATCAGAGTACCTACACCTTGCTGTGCCACTTCCTGCTCCCAAAGCCTCCAAGGAGGGAATGCTGGGGCAGAGGAAAGCCCTTCCCTGGTGCTCTGTGGGCTCCCTGGCACAGAGGGGTGGTTAGGGGGGCAGGTGTGCAGCCCCAGCAGAGCATCCCCTGCCCTGCAGCCCCTGCCCTGCTGCCCACCTTGTCGTGCTTCTCAAAGAGCCTCTGCAGGAACTGGTATCCCAAGTGGTTGAGCTCCGTGGAGCAGCCCGGGGGCACACGGAACCTGTTGGGAAAATCATGGAATTATTTAGGTTGGAAAAGTCCTCTCTGATTTAGTCCAACTGTTCCAACACTGTCAAGGCTACCACTGACCCACATCCCCCAGTGCCACATCGACATGGCTTTAAATCCCTCCAGCTGCCCTGAGCAGCTGTGCAAGTACCTGACCACCCTTTTCAGCAAAGAAATTTTTCCTACTACCCAACCTAAACCTCCCTTTTATCTTTCATACCTTATTCTCCAGTTCAGACAGCCAAATGAACCTCCTCAAGCCCTGAACGAAGGGCAGTGCATGAGCACATCTCACCCAGAGGACACAGCTCCCCACTCCCTCCCTGCTCAAGGTCAGCTGTTGCCTCCAGGCCTGGCTATTCGTTGACACAGCCCCTTGATTTTGGGGAGGATCCCCTGAGGATGCACAGTGGCCTTTCCCTGGCACATCCTAACCAGCCCAGGAGATGCTGTGCCCTCACTTTGCCTCATGCCCAGGGCTTCAGCAGGGCACAGCAGTGCCCCGAGGTGCCATCCACCAGCGTGTCCCTGTCACCTCCCTGCAGCCTGCTCTCTGGGAAGAGGAGGAGGCAGCTCCCAAGCCAAACCCTTCCATTCCTGCCAGCTCCCCATCTCCAGAGTGGCAGGGAGCAGAGAAGAGACAGCAGCCGCACCATAACCGTGCTGACAGCTCACTGCTCCCGACAGAGCTGCTCTGCCTCGCTCAGCCAGGGACACAGCAGCCTCCAAGAACCCCTTGCTGATGTCAAGGCAAGTCTGGATTTCATTCCCCACCTTCCTGCCTGCCCAAATCAGCAGCCCCTGACCCCACGTGTCAGCTCCTGCCCCAGGGGAAGGCAAGGACTGCGAGCCTGACCCTGAGCTAAGGGCCCACAGCAGCTCCTGGGGTGCAGGAAGGATGCAGCCAAGGTGCTGGGGCTGCCATGCCCCACGGGCTGTGACCCCCTGCCAGCCCTGGACACGCACTGTGGGTACAGGTAATCATCTGTCAGCTCCAGCTCGTCGTCGTAGCCGAAGCGGCGCAGGATGGTCCAGGTGGTCTCGTGCCGGCCCCTCTGGATGAAGAGGGTGTTGAGGAAGAGGAAGCCTGCAGGAGAGATCAGGGGGCTGAGCCACAGTGGAGTCAGTTCAGGCTCAGGGGTGCACTCCCCCAGACTGCTGGGACAGAGACACTTAGCAGCCACAGCAGGCTTGTTTTAACAAGAGGGATTAATTAGGCCTGGAATGAGAACCAGGAGGCTCAGGCCAAGGGCAGAGCCCCCATAGATGTGCTGAAGGAGGTGGGTCCCCCCATCCCCTGGGAAGGAGCAGGGAGCCCTCGGGCTGTTACCGTTCAAGGTGAGGCCGTTGTCCTGCACCCCGTCTGTCGTGTTCTTCCACACAACCATCTTCACATCCTCCAGGGCCTGGGGAGCCAGGGGGTTTCCAAAACAAGATTTCTGCCTCCCAAGAGAATGAAGGCCATTGTCAGCAAAGCACCCAGAGAGCACAAGCCTGTCTCACCAGGTTCCCTCTCCCCGGCAAGAAATGGGGTTTCACGGAGGGAAAATCCACCCAGCTCATGGATTTCTGCCTCAGGCCTTGACCAAACCCCTGTTCTTCACCATCCCAGTAATTGAGGACTCTCAGCATCTCCACAGCTTCCTGGCCCTCCCATAGCAGAGCAAATCAGCCCAAGTTTAGGAAGATGGAAGCCCACATGGTCAGAGATGCACCCTGCAGTGCTTCAGCTGTGCCACAGAAACACCACAGAGGAACGGGACAGCTGTGCTAGGAAGGGCAGATTCCCTGCTGGAAAGAGAATCCCAGGCCCTGGGAACTCCTCAGCTCTGCAGCCACCCTACCTGGAAGTAGTTGAGCTCATCATCACTGAGGATCTGGTTGTTGTCCTGGTCCGAGAGGTTGAAGATCCGGGTCAGTGCTCGAGCACAGGCGGGTTTGAGCTGCAAGGGCCAACCACGGTGACAATGACAGGGCAGCAGCCACAGCCTGGCCCTGCCTCCTGCAGCCCCACACGCAGAGGGCTCCTTCCTGCACCTCTAGGCCAGTACCACAGCCTCCTTGGAGGTGGGAATCATGGACTCATCAAGGTTGGAAAACCCCTCCGAGAACAGTCCCCCAGCACTGCCAAGGCCACCACTAGCCCATGTCCCCAAGTGCCACATGCACAGAGCTTTTAAATCCTTCCAGGAATGCTGACTCCCCTCCACCTGTGCCAGTGGCTGACCACCCTTACCATGAAGAAATTTTTCCTAATATCCTATCTAAAGTCAGAGAGGACAATCCATGGGGAATTCTTCTTCCAGACCCTTCCCTCCACAACCAAGACACAGCCTGGAGCGTGAGGGCTTCTGCCCCAACACACCCAAGTCCTTGCAGGTGTCTGTCTGCCCAGCTGGCTGTACTGAGCACAGGAGATGGGCACTGGTCCCTTGGCCTGTCTGTGCCAGCCCAAACCCTCCACTTGCATTCCAAAACCTCCAGCCCAGAGTAGTGTGATGGGAAGGAGCCTCCTCCAGGAGCTCACCTGCTTCTCCTCTGGGTCGTAGAGCGGGGCAGTGGGGTGCAGCACGGCTTTCTGGGCGTAGTAGAAGAGCTCAGAGATGTTCTTGAGGTTCTTGGCAGAGCACTGGGGATTCAGAAGAGACAGCCCTGATGAAAAGGGCTGGAGGAGAATGACACAATCTCCCCCAGCCAGACCAGCTGTGCCTCAAAGCCCAGAGCAACGTTTGTCCACCGTGAGGAAAAATCCAAAGGGACAATCTCCTGGGTTTTGCTCTGGCTTTGCTGTGCCCATTCCACAGCCCCAGAACCAACAGGGCTGTGTGGAACTCCAACTAGAGAGCCACAGAGGGCAGACACTGAAAGCTGCTCCTTGGCAAGGGGTAAAGGACAGAAAGCCAAAGGGCAGGCTCTCAGCCCCTGGACTTGTGTAGAGCAGCAGCATCAGGGCAGCTCTCCAGGAGCACAGAGGCTCCCTGACTGCCACCAAAGCAGCATCCCAACCCCTCAGGGAGGCCCTGCACACCCCCCAACTCCTCACCTCCACGCAGGTCTCAATCTCCGAGAACTGGTTCATGATGGGCAGGATGACCTCCATGGAGCTGCCCACCTGCAGGTCAGACTTGTTTCCCACTAAGATAATGGGGATTCTAGGAAACACACAGAGCACAAGTGAGGCCACCCCTCTCCTGGTCCCAGCACTGTCCCAGCCATTGCTGCTCCCATGGGCAGGTTAGGGAAGCCCCAACTCTCCTCTGCAAGGTCCAGAGCAGCTTTTCTGCCTCCCACAGCCGGGAGCATCCATCTGGAGAAACAGACTGCCTGATCCTGCTTATGCTTTCACCCAGCAACAATATGCTCAGGAGCCTTTAATCCAGCACAACAGCCTTCTGCCCAAGAGATCCACATGCAGACTAAAGCTTCTGTGTTTCCAGTTCCCCCTGGCAGCCTCCTCTCCCTGCCTGGCTGAGAAGAGATCAAAGGGGGGAAGGGATTCCTCCTCAGTGACCCCCTGCCTCAAATGGATCTCTGGTGGAGGAAAGTGCCCGTGTGCTTCTGCTCTAAGTGGTCTGACACAAACCACAGTCCTGGAATGGTTTTGGTAGGGAGGGACCTTAAAGTTTATCTCATCCCACCCCCTGCCACGGGCAGGGACCGTGGTTCAAGCCCCATTCAACCTGGGCAAACCACAAAGCTGGTTTGCTCTCAGTACCCTCAGAAGGAGGTGAGGATGATGGGCACCCCACAGCTCCCAGAATGACCAAATTCTGCATCCACAGATCACACCCCACGCGGTACCTGGATCCCTTTTCAAGTCCCCCGTTCACCATGGGGATCCACTTTGTGCGAATCTGGAAGGTGAGAAGAGGGAAAGGGCTGTCAGCACAGCCTGGGAGAGAGAGGCAGCTCCCAGGCAGGCAGAACAGGGCCCTGCAGCCATCTGCTGCCCAGCATTCCCTCACACCAGCAGGCAGAGCAGCCCCAGGGATGCTGGATGCCAGCACCTCGATGCAACAACCCTGTTGTCCTGCTGTGATGGAGCAAACTTGGGTGGGGCTCAGCTTCGGCTTGCAGGAGTCTCTGACCCAAAATCCCGCAGAGCCAGAGGCCATCAGTATGTGCCCACACCACAGGGCAGCATGGACACCCCTGGGAACCTCCTCTGGCCCTGCTGCTGGAGCGGGGCCCTGGTGGGGATGCATTACCTTGTCAATGGTGGCCTCCTTGGTGACATCGTACACCATGCAGACCACGTTGGCCTGCAAGAGAAGCAGGAGAGGGTGGTGAAGGGGTTCTTGCCACACTCGTGGCAGCAGGGAATGCCAGGGCAGCAAGGAATGCCAGGGCTGTAGGGAATGCCAGGGCAGCAGGGAATGCCAGGGCAGCAGGGAATGCCAGTGCAGCAGGGAAGGCCAGGGCTGCAGGGAAGGCCAGGGCTGCAGGGAATGCCAGGGCTGCAGGGAAGGCTGCCTGGGCTGCAGGGAATGCCAGGGCTGCAGGGAATGCCAGGGCTGCAGGGAAGGCTGCCTGGGCTGCCAGGGAAGCACAGCAGCCGAGCACACGTGAGCGTGGACACGTACACAGCCCCCACACCCTCAGCACGAGCCCATGAGCTGCTGGGAGCAGCTCCTGTGCCTCGGGAGCTGCTGCTCCCATGCCTGCTGGCCCAGATCCCCCTCCCACACCACCCTTGTCCTGGCCCTCCTCCCCTCCTGACCCCCTGCAGACAGGGCAGCACCGAGGCTTTATAGGAAGCAGACCAGAGGGATCACTGGTCCTTTCAGCAGAGAGTTTAATGCTAATCCGAGGACACACAAGGGTTTAGGCAGGATTTCCTGGAGCCATTTAAAGCTTCTGTGTACTCCTGCTGTCTGGGTGGAGGGAGCAGGACCCCCGTGCCCACCTCCTCGGCCGTTAGCCACCAGGGCTGGGAGATTAAATAGCTTTGCTCACGTGAGAGATGGTTTTATTATCCATAATTAAAAGGGCTTCATGTCTGCAGAGTCAAAGTTAATCCCAGGGCAAAGAGCAGCTGGGTCCGACCCAGCCAGACAACTTAATTATTCCTCCATGGCTGCTCTGAGGGCTGCCTCATCCCTCCCTGCCCAGTGCTCAGGGCTCCAGCTCCCAAATTAACTCCTCTGTGCTACCGCTTCATCGGGCAGCCACAGGGATCTAATGCAGGGAGCAGGGGTCTTGCCCAAACCCAGCAACTGCTTCTCCCTCTTCTGAGTCCGTGGGGAATATCCCGAGGCTGAGAGCACAATGTGTGCTCCTGCCTCCTCCTCCTGCCCTGGGCAGCGAGCTGCCCCTGCCGCTCGCCTTCTGGAGGCTCCCTGGAGGGCTTGGACAAGCCACACACAGCAGCTTACAAGAGAGAGCAGGATTAAACAAGCCTCTAAACAAACCAGGAGCATTAATCCGTGGATAATCAACTGCCTGTGCCTGTCTGGGTGGCTAACAGGGAGGGAGGGGAGCAGCTATGTGTCCCCTGGGGACCACAGCCTCCTGTCCCCATCCTGGCCAGCCCTGCTCACCTTGGCGATCTCCTCCTGCAGCTCCTCCTCCGTCTGCTCTGACTCTGGAAGGGGAATGAAGCCATCACCACCTGCCCAGGCAGGGCCACCCCACCCCAATCCCCTCAGCCAGGCAGGGAACGGGAGAAGCCAGGCAGGACAGGGCCCTACCTGAGTAGTCCACTATGTGCGTGGGGACCTTCTCAGGGGTGACATCGGCCGGGATCGTGATCTCCTCTGCCCGGGGGGGCACCTGCAAAGGCAGCACACCCCGTCCAGCCAAGCAGGACAGGTGACAAGGGACTTCAGAGCCTTGGCCACTGCCAGGGCAGGATGAGCTGTGGATCACAGATTGCTCTTGGCCCATGGGCTGCAGCAGCCCCCTGCACTCCTGCTCTTGTACGGGCAGTGTCCTCGAGGTGTAACTTCCACCTGCCTCCCTCACATGGAGCTCCTGAAGCTGGCGGAGATAAGCCCTGGGCTCCCCTGGGAGCAGCGCTGAGCTGACTGTGTGGGTTGTGGGCTGGGAGCAGGGAAGGGGTGCAGGGCTGGTCCCCCCAAACCCCTGAGCTGACGCTTCCCAGCACAACACCATGGAGGGCACCCATGGGCAGTGGGAGAAACCATGTGAGGCTCAGGGAAAATGTGCCTGGACAGACTGATCCCATTTCCCTAGCCAAACTGTGCTGGGACAGCAAGCTGCCGAGGGGCACAGCTGGCTGGATGCTGCTGCTCACAGCTGGCCTGGCTCACCCATCTCCAGAGGGTGCAGCGGGCAGGGAATGAGGCTGACCCTTCCAAGGGCTCTGCGGTGGTGCCAGCCCTGCTGTGCTGGTGACAGAGACCCCCAGCAGCAGCAAGCACCAACACACTCCTCAGGGCAGAGAGAGCTGCCAGCCAGGATCGGCCCCCGAGTGGGAATGAGAGCACAAAGTGAGGCAAACAGGTCCTCAGTCCCCGCGGCTGTCACAGCCCGGAGCTGCAGCGGCGGGCGGGCAGACACCGCCATCCCCGGGGGGACACCGGGCACGGAGCTGTCCCTCAGCCAGGGGCCCCCTCCCCACTCACCTCTTCAGGAAACTCCTCTCCCACCAGAGCCATGATCAGGGACGTCTTCCCCACCTGGGCTAGGAAATAAAGGGAGCACGTTGACATTGGCCCCGGCACGGCAGAGCCTGAGGGGGACAGGGCAGGTGGGAGCCACCATCGGAGCCGTGACACCGCGGATCGGCTGCTGACAACGCCGGGCCCGGACTCTCCCCCGGTCCTGCCAGTGACGGGGGCTGCACCCGGGCCCCCCGCCCGCCCTGTCCCCGGGGATGGGTGCAGGAGGAGCCCCGCGGCCCTCACCCTCCCCGAGCAGCAGGATCCGCACGTCCCGCTTCATGGCGGCGCCCGGGCCCCCGGTCCCTTCCGGCCGCCCCGCCCAGCGGCGGCGCACAGCGGCGCGGGCGGCGCGGCGCCCCCTGGCGGCGCCTGCACAGACGGACCTCCAGCGCTGGAACTTCGGTGGTTTATTAACGAAAACACAACGCTCAGCGAGCGGCACCGAACGGCACCGAGCAGCACCGAACGGCACCGAGCGGCACCGAACGGCTCCGAACGGCACCGAGCGGCACCGAATGGCACCGAACGGCGCGGAACAGCACCGAGCAGCACCGAACGGCACCGAACGGCGCGGAACGGCACCGAGCGGCACCGAACGGCTCCAAACGGCACCGAACGGCACCGCGGAACGCGCCCGGGGCCGCCCTGCAGCGCTGGAACTTCGGTGGTGTATTAACGAAAACACAACGCTCAGCGAACGGCATCGAACGGCACCGAACAGCGCCGCGGAACACCCTGCAGCGCTGGAATTTCGGTGGTTTATTAACGAAAACACAACGCTCAGCGAGCGGCGGCGAACGGCGCCGAACGGCACCGCGGAACGCACCCGGGGCCGCCCTGCAGCGCTGGAATTTCGGTTGTTTATTAACGAAAACACAACGCTCAGCGAGGGGCACCGAACGGCGCGGAACGGCTCCGAACGGCGAACAACACCGAACGGCACTGAGTGGCGCGGAACGGCACCGAACGGCACCGAGCGGCACCGAACGGCAAACAACACCGAACGGCACCGAATAGCTCCGAACGGCGCCACGGAACGTGCCCCGGGCCGCCCTGCAGCGCTGGGGCGGCGGTTCGGGCGGGTCGCGGCCGGAGCCGGGGCCTGTCCCGGGCTGGAGAAGCGGGGCGGTGCGGGGCCGGCCGGCTCAGGTGAGCTCCCAGACGAACACGGCGCTGTGCGACGCCGTGAGCAGGCGGCGGCCGGACGGCGCGAAGCGGCAGAGCTGCACGGTGTCGTCGTGGCCGGGATAGTCCTGCGGGGCCCCGGCGGGGCACGGCTGCAGCCGCAGCAGCCGCAGCAGCCGGTCTGCGGAGAGGAGCGGCTCAGAGCTGGGCCAGGAGGCTCCCACCGGCCCCGATCACCCTCCAGACCCGCTCCCCGGGGCTTGTCCGTGCCACCACCACCCTGCCCTGGCACTCACACACTTTCTCCATCTCTAGTCCCTGCCAGAAGCACCATTTGTGGTCACCTCCCAGCCCCTTTCCATGTCTTGTTCTAGCCAGAAGTACCATTCCCATTCAGCCCCAGACCCTCTCCCAGCCAGAAGCCCTGTTCCCAGTCACCCCCAGCCCCTCTCTACGTCTTTTTCCCGCCAGAAGCACCGTTCCCAGTCACTGCCCAGGCTCTCTCCCTGCTGCTGAGTGAGTGACACAGCACAAATGGACCCACCCTGCCCCAGGAGCAGGGTCCTGCCCATCCTCATGCTCTGGGAAGGTCCCTGCTGCCTCAGAGGCTGCAGAAATGGAGACAGCCCAGAACCCTGGGAATTCATTCCAGTGCCACCCGTGGACAAGCAGGATTGATCTCATGCATCTCCTTTGTGATCCAGGAGTCTCCTGGAGGTTTCTCCTTGCCCTGGACCATAGCTCCCAGGTTTGAGGACGTATCTCTTGTTTGGAGGAATAAGGACACTTGTTTCCCCTCTGGCAGAAGAAGGAGGGGCCCAGGCACACCCAGCACTCACCATTGGAGCCGAGGGCCATGAAAGGTGCAGCAGGGGACAGGCTGAGGGATGTGGCAAAGGCTGGCAGGGAGATCTTCCTGAACACCTGCAGCCCAGCAAGAGAAACACGGGCAGCTCAAAGGGGGAAGGCAGTGCCCACAGCTGTGCAGGGTGATGGGGAGGCTGAGGGTGCCCCAGGCATCCAGGAGACAATGGAGAGAGTGTTTGTGCTCTGCAAGCAGATGCCTTCCCCTCCCTGGGATCAGGGACTGGCTGCCTGCCTGGATGCAGCCTGAGGCAGGGGCAGGGCTCTGCTGCTCACCTGGGCCACACTCGGGACTTTCCAAGATGAAAATCTGTTCCCTGAGCAGCTGCCTGAGCCCACCCCAGCCCTGTGACTGAAGGTGACACACAGGGCAGCTGTGCCTGCCAGCTCTCACTGTCCATGGCAGGGGACGAGTACCTGTTTCTTCCTCAGGCTGTAGAACAAAGCCTCCTTCTGCAGCCCAAAGCCCACGTAGACCAGCACACCGTGTTCCCAAGGGCAGAAAGCAGCCAGGCTGGGAGGGAGGCTGTCAAGACCCTGGTGAGGGAAACCAAAGACAACAAAACTGAGGCTGGGTTCTCTTGTTTGGATCAGTGAGAGATAAAAGGAGAGCACTGAGGGACCCCAGGGCAGTGAGTGTTTGAGCAGTGGCACATGAGTATGGTGGAAGCTGCTCCCTCCCTCCTGCATTCCCATCTCTGGCTCAGGGAAAGCAAGGAACAACTACACTCTGCCATGGAAACCTGAAGCAAATAGTTTAGTGTTGTAGGAGCAGGTCCCATGAGGGTCCAACAGGTTGAATTCCCACTGAGATATTACTGCTACATGGGTTTGAAGCTGGGATTTGGTTATGGAGCAGCTTAACATAAGAAAACAGGGCCCAGGAGGCAGATCTTGAGCAGGGCATGCAAGATCAAACCTTCATGCTGTAGGGAGAGCTTGAGTGAGCTTCTTTCCAGAGGAAATCCATCTTTTTGGAAATGAACAGAAGAATTATTGACAGAACCCAGCTGCTGTATGGACCCAGGCTGAGGCACTGTCTCTTGCCCCCCAAAAACACTCAGCTCCCTTCTGTCTGCCAATGTCACCTGCACCAGGGACCATCTCCATCCTCTCCAACGCAGATCCTCCTGCTTTTCTAGCAGGTGTCCTGCTGCCCAAACCCTACCCCTGGGCTGGAGCCAGTGGCTTCTGCCAAGCAGCAGGGACACACAGGGCTGAGTACTTGGCTCTGGGAAGCCATCACCACGCTCCTGGCTCAGAGTACTCACACTCCTCAGGAGTGTCACAATTAGCAGTACGCTCAAAATTAGCTCTCCTTCCTGCACACCGTGCTCACTGCTGCCTGGGCTCTGCTTTGCTGGCACAGGGCTGTCAGCTCTTTGCAGGTGCAGTTTAGGGTTTCTTATGCTTAAAAGTCAGTGTTCCAGGGCAGCCTGGCACTGCTACACCCTTTCCACACCCAAGAAGGTGCATTGGCAAGATACTCTGTGAACTGGACTAACAGAGATGTCTTTCCTAAGCTCACACTCAGTCTCTGAGAGCCCTGTGCCTCCCTCCTCCCTCTCTGCTGGTGTCCAGCCTCATACCAGGAGCAGGCAGGGCCTGGCAGGTGCCACACTCACCTCAGGGCCAGCAGGGGCTGGGAAGCTGAGCCAGTCAAGGAGCTCACACTTGTCCTGGAGCCAGTCGGAGGCCCAGACGCTGACCCGGCGGTCGGAGCTGGTGGCCAGCCAGAGCTCCCCTCCTTCCACGCCGAGGTCATGGTACTGTGAGCAGAAACACAGCCCTGTCCTTCTGCAGGCACAGAGGCTTTGAAGGGGGGGGACAGGAACTCATGGGAACATGGGGCTTGTGTTTAGGGGATGAAAGCCAGGATTAACCTTTGTCTGGGGCTGCTCCATCCCTGGAAGTGTCCAAAGCCAGGCTGGACCAGGCTTGGAGCAACCTGGTCTAGTGAGGGGGGTCCATGCCTGTGGCAGGGGGCTGGAAATGGATGATTTTTAAAGTCCTTTCTAACCCAAATCCTGGTCTGAACGACACAGTTCTCTTCCTTGGGACACCCTCTGGATCTGCACATCTCCTAGGGGAGTTATTTCCAATACCATGTGTCCCTTAACATGTCCTTCACCTCAAATCAAGGAGGATTTCCTCAGTCCCAGATTACCAGGAAACACAGCCTTGCAATGTAGGTGATCTTAAAGCCTGAGAGCTTAGAGAAAACTATTCCCATTTCTGCTGTGCAAAGGGAAAAAACTCTCCACAAAGAGGAGGACACAGGAGGTACTCAAACCATCCCACGGCTGCACAGCCAAGTCTTCCCAGCTCCACAGAGGAACAGTACAGGCTACCAAAGACCATTTTTGGGGGGCACAGGGGCTGCAGACTCACAGCCTGGGCTGCTCCTGAGGGGTGCTGCTCTCCAAGAAGCTGTGGCACAGGTTCATGTCACACCTGTGTGCAGGGTGTCAACCAAAGGTCCCCCTGCAGGCACAACCTCACTCAGGCTGCACCAGCAACACATGATTTATTCCACTGAATATATCCCTGGAAAAACTGCTCAGAAGTTGCTGGAGGGGATGGAGAAAGATTTCCAAAGAGGAAAAGTAAGGGACACCAAATTAAACTTGCTGACCATGCTGCTTCCCAGAGCTGTGCAGTGACAGATGGGGACTGGACTCACTCCTGAGGTCTCACCTGCTTCCTGGTGCACTGGAGAACGGTGATGGGGGAGCCTTTGTGGTCAGCCAGGACATGGATGGTCATTCCAGTGCGAGGGCTGCTGACAGCCACTACCCCATCCTTGCCCCCTGATAAGATCATTTCCCCTGATGGCAGAGGAGAGGAAAGAATGGGACACTTCTTGGAGGAGGAAAAAAGGTCAGAGAAAGGTCCAAGACTATGGGATACCAGTGTCCTGAAACACTGTGAAAGGCTGGGAACATCCCAGTCAAGGGCTGGGTATGATGAGATGTCTCAGAGACACCCATTAAACCTCCACACTGAAGAAGAGAGACAGTAAATCATAAAACAGAGGTGTTTGTTGTACCCAAACCCCTTGGCTATCCCAGAGCCAAAGCACCTCCCGTGTCCAAACCACCATGTGCCAGCTGGCAGAGTCACCAGAGCTCACTGACACAAGTTCTGTGGCTCTCCCTGGCCCTGGGGTTTTGGGCAGGTGGCCAGGACACAGAACACCTGGAGGTCAGGGTAAACCCAGGCAGCACCAAGCCACGTTCCCTGAGCTCACATGTCCCCACTGTCACCTCAGGCAGCCTCACCATCAGTGGAGTAGGTGACTGCTGTCAGTGCAGCAGCGTGGGGGTGCATTTTCAGCTCCATCTCTGTCCTGGAAACACTGAACACACGGACAGTGCCATCGCTGTACCCTGCCACCACGTGCTGGCTCTCGCCGGGAAAAGGCCACACCCCGACGGGACGAGGCTTCCAGGCCAGGCACTGGCAGCTCTGCAGGGAAATCGGCAGAGAGCTGGTGACACAGGGGCCACTTCCCTGAGGGAAGGGACTGATGTGCCACGAAGCCTTACCTGGTTGAGCACCTGGAACTGCAGCACCAGCTCGGTGCTGCCCAGAGCCCAGATGCGCACGCTGCCGTCCTCCCCACACGTGGCACAGTGACTCTCGTCGGGACTGAAGCACACCTCGGTCACCTGCTCCAGGGAAAAGGCAGCCAACAGGGCTCTGGGGGTGCCACAGCCCAGAGCACACCACCTGCCCTGCCCCTTCATCCTGCTCACGGGACACACCAGATGAGAGGGAACAGAAAGGATGGGCAGAGCTTTGCTTTTGGGCTAACAGGACAAGAAGAAATGTCCTCAATTTGCACCAGGAAAGACTTAGATTGAATATTAGGAAGAATTTCTTCACAGAAGGCGTTGTAAAAGCACTGGACAGGCTGCCCAGGGCAGTGGTGGAGTCACCATACCCAAGAGTGTCCAAAAAATGTGTGGATGTGACATCTGGGGACATGGTTTAATGGTGAATGTTGTGGTGGTGCTGGGTTGGTGCTTGGACTTGATGATCTTAAAGGTCTTTTCCAACGTTATCGATCATGGGACAGAGTAAACTCAGCCCCAAAGGCAGGACCAGGCACTATGCACAGTAAACCTAGCCCCAAAGGTAAGACCAGGCAAGGTGCATTGCAAGTTGTCATAAAATACCTTCTCTCCCACCATTTGAACCCTTTTTTTTCTGTAGCAGAGAGACACCCTGAAGCAACAGCAAAACTCAAAGCAGGCCCAGCCCCTCTGACCTTGTTCTTGTGGCCACTGATGAGTCGGATGCTGGTGCTCTCCACCCAGTTGATGTACCACAGGGTCCCTGCCGTGGTGCCCACAATTCCCATTTCCAGGGAGTCGTCAAAGGCTGCGCTCACAATGGTCCCATCCAGGGTGATCTCGTGCTCCAGCAGGACTGAGCCAGACCTGGAGGAAGGCAGGGTGGGAGAAGCACTGGCTCAGATGTTGGAACAGCCACTCTGCCTGCTTTAAATCCAACTTTCTAGTGAGCCAGTTCAATGAGGGGCTCCTGTCCATGGAACAGTGACTGGGAGAGCTGGGGTTGTTCATCCTGGGAGCCCCCAGAGCCCCCTCCACTGCCCAAAGGAACTCCAAGAGAGCTGGAGAAGGACTTTGGACAAGAGCCTGGAGTGACAGGACAAGGGAAAGAGGCTTCCCACTGCCAGAGGGCAGGGTTAGATGGGATATAGGGAAGGAATTCTTTCAATGAGAGTGGGCAGGCCCTGGCACAGGGTGCCCAGAGCAGCTGTGGCTGCCCCTGGATCCCTGGAAGTGTCCAAGACCAGGATGGACAGAGCTTGGAGCAGCCTGGGACAGCGAAAACCTTCCCATGGCAGGGAGGGCTGGAATGGGATGGTCTTGAAGGTTCCTTCCCACCTAAACCATTCTAGGATTCTGTGATTTGTGCTTCAACTACTTTTTTACAGGAAAGGAAAAAAAAAATAGGGCATGCAATAGCATGAGAGAATAAACAAAGGCAATGCATTGTTTTTAGTTCTCCTAAAGGAATTCCTACAAACCACTGACACAAACTTCAGGCACAATAAACACCCCCTTCCACTATTAAGAGGGTTCAGCTACCTGTGGCAAAAATTCAGTCACAAGATCCAGAGAGAAAGAATCAGCAGTCACGGGATGGAGAGAAGCAGCTAGGGATGAAGAGTAGCAGGAGCAGTGTGGCTGCACATGGTGTCTGCCTGCGAAAAGCCACCTCTCAGACAGGTCCTGGGGGCTGCCAGGTGAGGGGCCACGAGCTCCTACCTGGCATTGGGCCCTTTCAGCCTCAGTTCCTGCACGGTGGCCACGGACCACAGGCGGATGCGCTTCGTGTTGCTGCCGCTGAGCAGCCGCTGGTGCCGACACAGCAGCACACCTGGGGAGGAAGGACACCTGTCAGTGCCCATTGCTCCCTGCTGTAGGAATCAGAAAAACAGAAACTTCCACAGACACTGAAGGGTTTGGTTTGCAGTCTTGGGAGAAGCTAGGATTGATGAAAAAATACAATATATAGATATTAAGTAGAAAAATCTTATGTTTCTATAGTTGTAAGTAAGAATATGCCTTAAGTAAGTAATAAACTGTAAGTTGGGTAAGATGGTGAAGGGTTTATAGTGTAGTAATGTAATAGTATAGAGTAGGTTGGAGTTTAGGAGTTATAACAGAAGCATACGTGTGCAAGTGAGATAGAAGCCATTGGACAAAAGCATCCACGGTGCAGTAGAAGTAAGTAAAGGTGATAGGTTAGAAAAGCAAAATAAACCCTGTGGCAACTGTCTATTGGATTAGAAAGTTCTATATTGCCTTGTAACAAAGAACTTGTGACTACTTTGTGCTATGGCCAACTCTCTCTGATGTTTACCTGAGCAATAAATTGTTCTAGCCCGACGATGGTCCCATCCCTTTATTACAAGTGGTGACAGTGATACCCTGTCATCATTCTAAGGGTGCTCCTGACAGCCACTTGGGCAGCAAAGTGGGAGGACTCTACAGCCCAGCACTGTTTTACAGACTAGAGGAGTGCAGGTGCTTTGGCACAGGCTGCCCAGAGCAGTGGTGGAGTCACCATCCCTGCAAGATTCAAACAGCTTGTGGATGTGGTGCTCAGGGACATGGCTTAACGCTGGACCTGGCGTTGGTGGTTGGACCTGATGATCATGGAGACCTTTTCCAACATAAATGATTCTATGAAGCCCCCAGGAAACCCAGGTCAGAGATCCATTGCCACCCCACACATCTTGCATCCAACACAGCAAACTGGTTTTCCAAGCACAGCTGATGGGAAGTCTGTGAGCCCAGGGCTTCTTTCCAACACATTCCCTGTTACAGCCCCGGCACTGCACCCACCGATCTCGCCCTCATCAGCCTCCCACGTCATGAAGCAGGAATTGGTCTCTGTGTCCCACACACAGATCTGGCCCGAGTTGGTCCCACTGTAGAGGAGAGCGTCAGCACCGTAACAGAGAGATGTCAGCTCCACCAGCCCCAGCACGTCCGGGGCAGGGGCACGCTGAACCTGCCAGAGCACAAAAACCAGCAATGTCAAAGAGAATGAACATGCTTAGATGTACATCAGGAGAAAAAACATCCTCCTCCCCTCAATTCCTGCAGTTAATGCCTCAAATACAACCAACAGCTGTTTGTACACAGTCAATATCACATCACTGAGAGAAATCATAAGCTCTCACAGAGCCCTCACCAGGGGCTTAGAAAATAAGTCAGAGATGCTGAAAATAAATCTTAAAAGGTAAAAGGAAAGTTTACCTTGAATCTGACAGCAGCTCCCTGCTGCTCCAACACCCAGAATGTCACAGCTCCCCTCCCCACACAGGCGAGGTCTTGGTGAGAGAAAGGGCTAAAAGCCACATCATGGAGAGGCTCTGAGATACGAGTGGACAGCATGAGCTCATAGGTGTGGGTGCTCCACAGAGCCATGGTCTGGTCACGGTAGTCCCCTAAGGAGAACGGGAAAGACAGCAGGAGGAACTCTGCTGCCTCAGGATGATCACAAGCGTCCACACAGCACACATACATCAACAGCATCAGCCCCTCATCCAGCTGTTGGGAGACAACTGTCCCAAACACCGTACCAGGCATGGACACAACTCATTCTGTGCACAGCGCAAGCTGCACAACACAACAGATGCTTGCCCAAGTTAAGGACAGACAGGACTGGCCCAGCACTTCACACTGGAGATTGCAGCAAAGCTGTCCTGGCAGTGGAGTCACTTGGAGCAGCCAGGGTTGGGACTGAGCAGGCAGAGCAGGTTCTCTGCTGTTTCTCCATCCTTGGGAGTTGCTGCACACCTTGGGGAATGCCCCACACAAACTCTCCAGTGACACTGAGCACTCAGGGCTACAAAGAACAGATGTCACCTTTGCCAAGGTCCCAGCTGAGGTGGGAGCTGACCTCCATGGAAGCCACCACAGCTGGGTGGGAGCAGAAGGCATTGGCCTCAGTGATGGCAAAATTCCCGAGCTTCCAGAGAGCTCAGGAGGACACTGCTCTCCTGCTGCCTTTCCCAGGCTCCACAAGCTCTGTGGAGACTTTCAGCTTTTCCCTCCCCTGCAGCCCTGACCAGCACTGGAGGAGGAGAGCTCCTCTCCCACACTGCTCCCTGAAGAGCACAAAGCTCCCTTTCTCCCCAGCAAAGCCTGCTTTTCTTTCCAAAGGCAGCCTCACCAGCCTGGAGCGAGCGTATTACCTGCTCCACAGGTCCCCTCTCATGCAAAACAAGAGCTTCCTAATTGCATGTTGTCCTTTAAATGTCCCCTGCCTGAACAAAGCAGACAGCTTGAGCATCCATCCTGTGCTGGCATGGCTGCCTGGCAGGAGGCTCACAGTTGGGAGCCTGGCTACTTCTGTCCAAGTCCGTCTAGGCAGCAATAACAAGTCCAGAAGAAGGCTTTTCCCTCTGCACACTATAAATAGCAACCACAAACCATGTACAGGGGGTTTAAGAAGCACCAGTGAGTCAGGAGAAGAAAGCTGTAATTGCTGCACTCCCTGCTGCCCCAGGGATACCATGGAGCAGCTTCCTACCCACAGGCTGCTGCACATCTGGCAGGTGTTTGGTGCTCACAGCACCCTCCTGCCATGAGCTGTCTGCTCTGGAGTGCACCCCCACACCCCCAGCTGCTGTGGCAGGAGCGCTCACCTATGGTGACAAGGAATCTGTCATCACAGGAGAATGCCATGGCTTGCACTTGTGTCTCATGGTGGAACAGCTCTGCTGTGCAGGCCCCATCCTGGGTGCTCCAGATGCAGATCTGACAGTGGGAGTCTCCATCCTTCTGCCCTGAGGCAGAAGCAAGAACCTAACAGAACAATGTGTAAGTAATTAGAGAATGCTCATTAGTCTTAATGGTTTTTTCAGTTATCCCACATTAAAGGGATGTAGCTGGCAAATGGAGAATTCAGTGAGAAACAACCATTCAGCTGATGGCAGGAGGGAAAGGCAGCATCACCCAGAGGAAGAGAACAGCCTTTTCAGAGTCACAGAGTCCTTGAGGTTGGGAAAGATCTCCAAGATCATCAAGTCCAACCTGTGACATCCCCACCTTGTCACCCAGCCCAGGGCATGGAGTGTCACATCCAGCTCCTCCTTGGACACCTTCCAGGGATGGGAACTTTACCACTCCCAGGCAGTCCCTTCCAATGCCTAGACACCCTTTCCATGGAGAAATTCTTCCTGATGTCCAGCCTGAACCTCCCCTGGCACAGCTGGAGGCTATTCCCTCTCTCTGGGAGCAGAGTCTGACCCCTGTCAGCTGCCCCCTCCTGTCAGGGAGTTGTGGAGATCCAGAAGGTCCCACCTGAGCCTCCTTTCTCCAGACTGAGCTCCTCATCAGACTTGTGCTCCAGCCCCTTCCCCAGCTCTGTTCCCTTTTCTGGACATTCTCCAGCCCACACTGAGCCAGCACAACAGATAGCTGACTCTAAAATAATCTCCATAGCCTCCAGGCAGAAGGAGGAAGAGAGAAATGGGATTTTAGGTTCTGGGATCGCAAAGAGACAGGGACAAGCCCTGGCCTGGGGCAGAGCAGCCTCTCCCACCTGGGCATGGTGGCTGAGGGTGAGTGTGGAGATCTCCTCGGCGTGGCCCAGCCAGTGGTTCTGGGACCCCGAGTGCAGGTCTTCAACCACGATGACGCAGCCACAGGAGTAGGCGAAGAAGCCTGGCAGAGGAGGGGGAGGAGAGGGGATGTTTTCATGGAAAGGCTGCACATACAGCCCCCACCACAACCCACGTGGAAAATTCTATGATTCATTAATACGTAAAAGCTGACTCTTTGATGCAGCTCAGCAGCAGCAGGTTGGGAGCAGGGTGAAATCTCACTTTCCCTACCCTGAGTAAAGCAGAGCTGCTGGGCATCATTCCAGCTGGAGAAATGAGGCAGGATGGGTTTTGTGAGCTTCCCTCCTGCTCTGTCCGCTCAACGACTGGAGCCTGAGTCTGCTCCACCAACTAAAGTTTGCCAGCAGCAAAGAGCTACTGGATTTTACCAACACAAAGAACCTCTGTGTTCAAGCAAAGATCCCAATCCAACAGTGAGATCATAATTTCACTCAGTGCACATCCCTAGAATCACAGAATAGAATCACAGAATATAATCACACGTGAGTTGGGCTGGAAGGGACCTTAAAGCTCATCTCGTTCCACCCCCTGCCATGGGCAGGGACACCTTCCACTATTCCAGGCTGCTCCAAGTCCTGTCCAGCCTAGCACTGGGCACTTCCAGGGATCCAGGGGCAGCCACAGCTTCTCTGGCAACACATCCCACCACTCCAGAGCCTTCCCAGGGTACCTGTATCCGGGTTCCACACCATATTCCCTCTGCCATTCCCATTGTAGCCGATCACTGCTTTCAGCTTCAGCACCTCACTGCCCGCTGGAGGAGACGAGAAACTCTACAAGAAAAACAGACAGTGGCTTAAAATAATCTCTGGAAGAATGGTCTGGTCAGGTGCATCAACACCCACACAGGAAGAAGCAAGCGTCCTCAAAAACACATCCCACACAGATCCATGCCAAAACTCACACAATTCCTAACAGAAGAGACAAATAACATTCCATAACAAAAGAGACACTGCCCCAGCACAGCCAGGCACAGATGCTTTCAGATATGGCACAAAATAGGCTGGCAGCAAATGCCCAGCCAAGGAGCAGCTGCTAATCCTGCTGGGAAAGAGTTCCACTGACTTGGAATGCAGATATTTCAACAGGAAGAGAACTGGGAGAAAAATGCTGCCAGGTGGAGGGACAGAGAGAGGATTGGGGGTGAAATCTGGATGTAGCTGTTCTCCAGCACTAGCAGCAGAGCTTAGGGAAGGGCTGAGTTAAGTTTCTGTTTGATCCCTGCTGTGTTTGTTAACAGAGCAGGAGCTGTGCCGTGTCTCTCCTCACTACGCTCCATGGATTTGCCTTCCCCAGCCTGCTCTGCCAATGCAGCTGCTCGCAAATATGGGAGCACAATGAATCACTCCATTGCTCACTCGTCTTTCACTCTCAATAGCACATGCCATTTCCACTCCTTTTGAATAAAAATGTATGCAGATTTGGGCAACACAAAAAGAGTTGAGCACAACTCAGTTTTTACTAGTCTGGGAAGAGCTACATGTAGAGGAGAACAGGGAATTAACGCTAGGATTTCTCACTGAGCATCAGCCCAGGGGTGTATTTCCCAAACTGCTTTCCAACAGAGAAGAAAATGGAAACAATTTGGAAAACTCACCTACCCCAGCCCCAAAATGCCTGTTCTCCACCTGGTAACCAGCACAGCTCTCACCTGGGGGAGCACTGATGCCTTGAAGCGAGGAGTGAAATGCCGGTAGGAATCTGGGCGGATGGAACACTGGGACTTGGGAGTTTTGCTCGCCTTCCTGGGCTCTGCCACACAAAGAAGAAGATGGTACCCATGGGATGCTGCTTCTGGGAAGGGTTTGGGAGCAGCACCCAGGCTGTGCCTTGCTTATATTCAGGTGTTGTGCACGTGTGAACACGCACGAGGCAAAAAGCAAACTGCAGTGTCACATGTGGCATATCCCAGGTGGGAAGGAGTCAAGGATCATGAGTCCAACCCCTGCCCCTGCACAGACACCTCAACAATCCCACCCTGCACCTCAGAGCACCCTCCAAGTGTTCCTGGAGCTCTGGCAGCTGTGCCCATTCCCTGAGGAGCCTGCTCAATCAATACCCAGCACCCTCTGGGGGAAGAACCTTTTCCTGAAATCCAGCCTGACCCTCCCTGACACAGCTCCAGCCATTCCCTGGATCAGTTCCTTTCCCACTTGAATTAATGTATCTGAACAACTTGGACTGCAGCATGCACCAGCCATTTCACTTGTAACTGCTCTTACCAGAACTTGCTCAAAGCTCTCTAGAATTCAAAGTTACTAAGACATAAACTGTACTAAAATAAGAAAGAAGAAGCTAAAAAACCGAATTCTAAGACCACAAAAAAGAGGCAACAAAGAACTGTAAGCCACCTAAACTATAACCAATCACGTATTCTGAAAAGTACATACAAAACACATAGACAAACAAAAACACCAATAAAAAATACATAATCAGCTTATACAGAAGAGTTATAATATATAAATAAGTACTTAATGTAAACAATAAACAGATTATACTTAATCATGTTAATTAGTTAGTCAAGAATCCTAAATTTCCCACACCGACTCAGTCACATCACACTGCAAACAGCTTAAGGACAACCATGCCTCGTCCTCTGGGCATCCTTGTGAAGCCACGAGCCCCACAGCTCCAGGCCTGCAACAGGAGCATTGAGGGCACTTTTATCCTGAGGTTTTCCAATAAGTCCTGCTGAGGCTGAGCACTGGCAGCTGCCTGCTCCTGGCAGGTCGCCACACACCCCTGCAGCTCCCAGGCTGTGCAGCTATTAATAGAGCCATTGGGAGCTTTAATTGCAGCTGGATTTAATGGGACGTGCCACTCAGAGATGATACTGGCTTCAGGCTGAAGACAGGCTTCTGGTGTGCCCAGAAGCAGCAACAGGGAAAGCCAGAAAAACGAGCAGTTTTAGGGATCAGTGTGAGCTTCCCTCAATACTGATTTCCCTTGGAAGGCCATGCCCAAGGGAAAACTCCTAAGGAACACATTGCAGCCTTTCAGCTCACAGCTCAGAGCACGTGTCTGGGTCTCTCTGCCCTGTAATAATAATGGTCTGTCATTGTTTTTGGGGATAGACCAAGCTGCCATGCAGGCCTGCAGCTCTGTACAAACTGGCAATACCCCTGATTTACCGTTTGCTGGCTTTTCAGGAGACCTCGAGCTCTCCTGCCTCACTTTGGGCCTCACAACAGGCTCCTCATTTTCCTCTGATTCCACCACAATGACTGAGGCATCTTTGTGCTCATTTGCCACCTTCCTGCTGCTGTCTGGTACATCTGCTTCCTCCTCCCTGTCCGACTCAGAGGAAATACCTGGGGAGAAAAATCAGTGGGAAGATGGAGCCATCCACGTCCTTCAGGACCACTTCATTTGTGCCTGACCCCTTGACTTCTGGCAGTGTCATTCCCCTGCTCTGTGGAACAGCTCAGCTGTTATGGTGGAGGGTAAAGCAGACAATTCCTATTAGGAATGACCAACAAGGTGTTTAGCACAGTCAGAGAGGCTGTGCCAGCAGCTCAGTACATGGAGGAGGGCAGAGGAAAAAGGGGTGCTGAACCCCAGCTAAGCCCAGCTTAGGGGAAGGAAATGCAGATTGGTCTGTCAAGTCTGCCAGAAGGGATCCCAGGTAGGGATGGCTCCAGAGATGCTGCTGAACTAGGCAAGTTTTTCCTAAAATGAGGTTCATTTTCCTCTTTCCTGCAAGCAGTTCCTCTTACTTTGAAATCCTGCTGGGTGGACAGAGCTGATATCCAGGCACGGTGGGGAGGACAGCAGTGGAAGAGGCACTGTCTGCCGAGGGGTCTCAGAGACATCCTTGGGCGTCTCAGAGCTGCTGTCTGGGAAAGGAAAAGGCTCAGTGTCACTTCCTTCACCCCATGCTCCTCTCCTCCTTCTGGATAGTGACACCTCCAAGCTCAGCTTTCCAGCTTCCATAGAAACCACTTCTCTGTGCTTTAAGAAAGAGAAGGACAGAGAGAGAGGGACAATGAGGGAGAAAGAAGACAGAGCAGATGGAGGCAGAGAAAGACAGAAGGTAAAAGGTGAAAATCTACCAGAAAGCCCAGAATGGCTCTGCTCAGAACATCCCCACCTAGGCAGACTGAGAGGTGCTGCCAATTAATTTGAGATTGTCCTTCGAGGCTAATTAGTTGGTTTGCCCCCCACTACATGACTCCCTCAGGGAAGGAACCATCCCCCCAAGCCCCTACCCTCTGGGAAAGCTGCCAGCACAACTCATGGGAAGAGGCAAACTCACCTGACCTCAGCACCAGGGTGGACACGGGGGAACAAGCCCTGGGAAGGTGAGGAGACTGGAGTCACACAGGGATGGGGCAGGGAGAGGGGACACAGACAGGCACTGCCAGCACCATTACCTGGCTGGGGATGACTTGACTGGAGGTGGAGCTAGGAAATCCCAGAGGAAGATGGCATCCCCAACGCTGATGACGTGCTCTTGGTTTGGGGTGAAGGCGACCTTGTGCACGGGCTCCGAGTGGCCGATGAACACCTGGGAGAGAGCACGTCTTGACTCCCCATCACCATTTGTCTTGTCTGGATGGGGTTACTCCACTCCCTGTCCTGCCCAGCCAGGGTCTACAGGCCTCAGCAGAAGGTCCAGAAGAGGATCTATCACACCTACAGTTCTCATACCGGTGGGCTGATCAACATGGGGCCAACCTCCAACACACTCATTTGGGGAAGGAAGCAAAAGCTGAAGAGTCCAAAGTCTTATCCTGCCTCTGAAGCCTTGGGTCAACCATTTTCCTCTCCATTTTCTGTCTTTGTCCCTAACACAGAGCTATCACCTATCTCTGTCCTTTGCAGAGGGTCTCACTGGGGTGCTCTGGCAGCCCCAGCTTGTGCCCACTGCCAGGCACTGTTACAGTGTGGGATTGGAGCTGCATTTCTCTGCTAGGCAAACTGGGACTGAGGACACTGGGCCAGGTTCATACAGAGTCCATTTGCTGCCCTCTTCTCTGGAGATTCAGCAATGCAGCACCACCCCTTCCCTCCTGGGTGGGTGTGAGAACCCTGGGTTTGATTTAGGGATCTTGTGTGGTGGTAAAGTCTCTCCTTTAACTTGTGCTTCTAAAGAAAAACTTTGCAGCTTTTTGTTGTTTGGTCTTAAGGCAGTTTATTGCTAGTTATTTAAAAGATTGTTTTTGCCCGCTGTGGCTGCTTTGGTTAGCGGCTCAGGCAGAGACAAACACACTTTTGACACTCTCACTGTCTGGTGTCTTTGTCCTCTTTCTCCCCACCCAGGGTTGCTGCTATTTTTTATATGATATATTATGTATTATATGTTTACAGATTTTCTCCAATACTTATTATCTATGTTACAATGTGCTTTTTTACTCTAAACCAATCTATGAGTGCCAACATCACCAAGAACAGGGAGGTAAGGAAGAAGAAGGAAGAACAGGATCAGGCCCACTTTCTTCTATCTTAGAACTCCTGACCCCCCTGTACAAAGTAAAACCCCCCTGTACAGGTGTTAAAACCCCCCTGTACAATATTAAAAAATTTTCCCCTCTAATTTGTAATTATTTCTACTATACCATCTAACCCTCTGTGACCGCTTGTTCTACCTTCAAAGTTGGTAGTTCATTCCATGGCTCAAACTCACAATCACAGCTGTTTTCAGCTGCCTGCCAGGGTTTAAAATGCTTCTGACCGAGGCCTGGAACCTCTGAAAATGTCTGAGGGACATTTTGAGTTCCGACAGGTGGGCAGTACCTGGAAGTTGATGTTGAAGCGCATCCGATAGTCCCACACTTTGATGACCTTGTCACCAGCAGTGAGCAGGTACTGGCCATCCTTGCTCAGTGCCAAGGAGGAACAGCTCAGCTTGTGCACAGGGGACACCTGAGGACAAGAAATGGCACCAGCAGCCTTAGCTGAGCTGGTTCATACCCTGATTTACATTTCAGCATGACAAAAGTAGTGTGACAGTGTGGAAAACAAGGACAAGCTCGGCTCACCCTGAGCACGAGAACGCTGGGGCAGCTGCAGGCTTCCCACTTGTGTTTCTTTGAAGCCTGTGAGCTCCAGGGGGAGTTTTTCTCTCATTTAACCTCCCGATAAGACAAGAAGTGCCCAGCCCCCACAGGAGACCTCACAGATGAATTTCAGTGTCCTACCTCTCGCACCAGCCGTCCGGTTTTTGCATCAAGCACAAGGATTTTATTGGAAGAAGTGGATACCAGGAGCTCCCCCTGAGGCACAGGACCAAAGCAGACCTTCACTGCAGAGTCCAAGATGGTGCTGTGCAGGTCCAGGATGCTGACATCCACCCTCAGCAGCTGTGGGACAAAGAGCCACTGAACAACCACTGCAGGAGCCTCGGGATTGCTCCTGTGCTCCTAACATGAGGCTATGGAGCCCCCTGGACCCTCCCCTTCCCACTTAATGAGGGGCTGCAGGTCCAGGCAATGCCCAGGAGAGCAGGTCAAGAGAGAGGTGAGAGCTCACAGCCTCCACAGCACTTCTCCAAATTATCTTTCTAGAGGGGAATGAAGGCAGAGGAGAAGAAACCTCAAATTTGTTATTTCTGTCTCACAGAGGAAGGGAAAGCAGGGAGCCCAGTGTCAGCCCCACGCCCTGATCCACCTCACCTATGGAGTTTCCAGGGGACAGCCCTGTCCCCAGGAGTGAGGGGACTCTGCTGGGTACCTCATCGAGTGTGCAGGCCTCCATCACTGTCACCACGTACTTGGAGGGCCCCACGAAGGCCAGCAGGCGACTGTCCCCACTGACCACCAGAGTGTCCACGCCACTCCCAGCATCCCGGGCCACCACATTGCCTGGGGGACACAGCAAGAGAGTGAGGAGCAGCAAAACCCACTCTGATGGTGCTGCTGCAGCAGCTTCTCCTGCAGCCTGAGAAAAAAAGCAACCTGTACTGTAGGAGATGCTACAAATTTTATTTACACTCCCAGAGTGTGCAGTGAACCACCTCAAAAACAAGGTTGAGATGCACAGCTTGTTGCCTGACTGAGCACACAGCATTTTCAAGGAGAGCAGAACAAAGCCAAAGGAATAAAATTGATTTTAGGGCTAATTTTTTAGTGCTACAAGAGGCTGTGATGAAGAGCTCTGAAATCTCAGCTGCAGCCTGGGTGTCTGAACCCAGAGCAGAATGAGGTCAGTGCTGAACACCCCACACTGATGTCAGTCCAGAGGGCAGAGAGACCCAGAGGTCTGAAAATCACAGAAATTACAGCAATTCTCTGTATTTATTCCATGACCATAATTCCACTGTTCTGTCCCTGAAACGTGACCAGGCAGCAAACACAGTTTCAGAGCAGAGTCACCAGAGTCCAGCTGCATCACTGACACCAAATCTGGGTTATTTTGGATGAATTCCCTGATTCCTCCAACCCCTGTTTCTTCTCCTGCACACTTTCTGGGGCAGGTTCCTCCTCTTTGTGCAATATTGCAGAGTCTGAAAATAGGAGTTCCCTTTCCCTGCCCAAGCTTGTGCTGTCACAATTAATTTCCAAAGTATACATTAAATGTGACACTAATTTTTCCAAACTGCCTTACCCCTGCCCTGCCTCCAGCTCTCCACGAGCACAGAGCAGCTCTGCTTCAGGCAGGATTAGAGCAACAATCCACTTCAAACAAATTAAATTGCACAAGTACAGAATGGGAAGCATCAGGGCTTGGGCATGGATAAATCTCTGTGACCCCAGCACATTGGTGAAATCATCACACCAGCAGGATGAGAGGGTTTGAACCAGGACAGGCAGGGAAGTGCTGGCAGCCACTGGGGTACAAACAGCAATCACAGAATCATTAAGGTTGGGAAAGCACTCTAAGATTATCAAGCCCACTGAACCATGTCTCCAGGTGCCACATCCACGTCTTTTAAATCCTTCCAGTGCCAGTGCCTGACCACCCTTCCAATGAAGAAATTTTCCCAATATCCAATCTAAACCTCCCCTGGCACAGCTTGAGGTCGTTTCCCCTTGTCCTGTCCCTGTTCCCTGGGAGCAGAGCCTGACCCGCCCCGGCTGTCCCCTCCTGTCAGGAGTTGTGCAGAGCCACAAGGTCCCCCCTGAGTCTCCTTTTCTCCAGGCTGAGCCCCTTCCCAGCTCCCTCAGCCCCTCCTGGTGCTCCAGCCCCTTCCCCAGCTCTGTTCCCTTCCCTGCACCCTCTCCAGCCCCTCTGTGTCTGTCTTGTGAGGGGCCCAGAACTGACCCCAGGACTGGAGGTGCCTCAGCAATGCCCAGTGCAGGGGGAAATGACAAAGCTCAGAAGGTTCACTGGGAAATATCACTTCAAGCGGGCTGATTTTGGGTTGGCTCTGGGGTCAAGATGTCTCTACTAATACAGAAAAAGAAGAAAGGCAACCCCAACCCCAGAGTCTTACCCACGACTCTCAGAACCTGGATTTTCCGTGCAGCAAGTCTGTACAGAGCCAGAGTTCCCTGCAAGCAGGAGCTGAACATGAAATTGCCATCTGGAGAGAAGGTCAGCCCGGTGACCGCGGTGCGGTGCTGCCTGAAAGAGGGCAGAAAACGTGGAAAAAGGGAAGAAGGAATCACAGACAGAGGGAACAGTGGTGATGTTGAGTGTAACACAGCGAAGAACCCAAGATATATCAACCAGGAACAGAGCAGGACCCTGCTGTGCTCACCCTGTAGCAGCCCAGGACACCCAACACTCCGACTTGTTGGAAAACCGAGCAGCAAGCGCAGGCTCCAGCCTGGATGGAACCTGCTCCTCCTCCCTTTGAGCATCCTCCAAACCCCACAGAGGCTCACAGGGGCTCCCTGCCCAGCTGCTCTCTAGAACAAGCTCCTCCCTACTGCTGTCCACTGGGAAGTGACAATGCAAGCCCTCATGGCTTTCACAGCTTGGGCTTTCACCACCCAGAGCCTCGGCAGTGGGATCTGTCCCAGACCCACCCAGCTGGGACCTGAGGCTTGTGGAGCTCCGTGAGTGTCACTGTGGCTCTGTCTCATCACCAGCACACCTGGTCAGACCCCGTGTAGCTCTCACTCCACTCACTTGTGCTCCAGCAGGAGGTCAGAGGCAGCCAGGCTGAAGGTCCTCACCACCCCGCTGTCGAAGCCACAGGCCAGCATCTCCCAGAAGGGGTGGAAGGCCACAGTACAAGGAGTTTCCTCTGCAGCTGAAAAGTCATACAGCTGCAGGGAAGAGACACCACAGGCATGAAACTGGAGAAGACTGGAGCTGCAGCTGGACCCAACAACTGATCAGCCTCACATCTCCACCATGAGCATGTCCCTGCTCCTGCCTGGATGGACATGAAGCCCACTGAAGTCCTGGGTCTTTGGGCACTCAGATAGAGCCCTTGGGTGTTATGGCTTGTGCTAAAAAGCAATCTTCAAAAGATGGACGAAAAGGAAATTGTTTTGCCTAACAATACTTCAGAACTTTGTACTTCCAAAGGGTCTCTTGCCCACGGTACCCCTCAGGCTTCAGGGAGATCTGAACTGAGGGGCTTTGACAGATGGAGCAAACAGACCAGGGAGACTCTCAATAACCATGAGACACCACCTGCCTCTTGTGTCACCCACCTGCTGCCTGGAGGCGAGGTCCCACACTCGGATGGTGCTGTCCTGGGACACTGTTGCTATCTGCTTCCCCTTGCCCTCCACTGAGAAGCCCAGCACAGAGCCCTGGTGGGAGCGCATCAGCGTGCTGTAGTCCCGGGCCTGCACATCCAGGTAGCCCAGAGCCCCAGCAGCTGTCGTGGACAGGACTTTGTGGCTGTCTGGGCTGATGCAGACAGAACTCACGGAAGCCTCATGCTCTGGGAAAGACACAGGAGTCAACAAATCCACTGGGGAAGGAGCAGCTGGAACACAGCTACAGACCCACATTTAGGAAAGCAATGCCCACGGGAGTGAGCAGCCCACGACCTGAAGACTGAACATTTGCAGGTGTGACAGATTAGAGAGATTAGTCTCTGCCCTTCCTAATGTCCCTGGGCTCTGCTGTAATGGTGAGTGTGTTTCAAAAACAGTCAAGAACTGCTCGACTTCTCCCCTAATTTTTCATGGACAGATGAGCCATGGCAAGAAGGGGACAAAAATCAAGATGGAAAGTCTGTTCTCTCCCAGGAGATCCTGCCTTTTTCCTATGAGTTACAAGAATAAACATGAATAATTGCCACTGAAGACTTCCAAGGCAGTCAGCCCTGGAGGCAGCACACGTAACACAGCCCTGACTCATGAGGATTGCTGTGGGAGCTGTGGCACTGGAGCTCCGGATCTGCAGCAGGAGATGTGGAGCTCAGAAGCACCACTCCCACCTCTACTCACCAGCCTCTAGGACAGCAGCTGAGAAGTCCAGCAGCCACAGCCTCACGTAGCCATCCTCTGATCCCGTGGCACAGAAGGTCAAGGACATGCTGATACTGTTTATAGCAATCCCAGGGCCTGGAAACCCAAAACACCTCCTTATACAGGTGAAACAAGAAAACTCAACCTGAGAGGGGGCCCACCCAAGAGCTGAGTCTGGTAGTCCCCCCACAGCCAGCTGCAGCCTGAGGAGGATGCAGGAACCCCACAGTGACCGGCAGAACAGGCTGAAGGGTCTCAGCCAGCCCTTCTCAGGGCTCCAAACTCCTCTTTAGCATTGTGAAACTCTTCCCAAGCACAGAAGATTCCTACCCCTGCCATATTTTTGCCTCAAACAGCATCCTGTAGCAAAGGATATCCCAGATAACTGCCTGAGGTACAAACCATTTCACTGCCCTGTCCCAAAGCCTCTCTGTGGAAGGGAAATACAGACCCACAAACTGGGAGATTTTGATTCGTACAATCATTAAGGTTGAAAAAACTCATTGAGTCCAACAATTATCCCCTCACCAGCCCATGTCCCCAGGTGCCCATCCACAGGCTTTTTGAACATTTCCAGGGATAGAATGGGCAGCTTGTTCCAATGCCTTATCACACTTTCAGTCAAGAAATTTTCTCCAATATCCAACCTAAATTCAGGTATAAAGGCCGTAAGTCAGAGCCAGCACTGAGACCAGGAGGCACCAAGGACTTTGCTTCATCTCCTCTCGGGTCCCTTCTTGCCCATGAAGTGAGAACTGCAGTTACATGCCTCTCAAAGGCCACATTATAGATTAATTAGCTCAATTTGCCAAAGCAAACTATCAAACTATGCACTAAGTTTTCGGATATCAGAGCAATCACACTTGAAAGTGAATTCTTCCTGCTGTTCGAGTTAATGGAAGAGCTGAAACTTGGTCTACTTAATGTAGAGCAACAAAGATTCCCCAAACACTCTACACCAGCTGAATAATGAAAAAAATCCCCAAATTCATCTTTTTCGTTAATCTTAGTTCTTTTTCCATCTCTCCATTAAGCCTCCCATCAGCAAATGAAGACCTTGTCTCATGTTTCTAAAAGTAGTGTTTCTCTGAAAGTGCAATCAGCATTTAAAATGCTAAAATCTTTCTTAAAACGATACTTTGCTGTACTAAGGAAGATTATTTGCAGTCCTTAAGAGGCAAATAGCAATGATCTAATCAACCCCAAAATAATCCTTCAGCAGTAGGTAAAGAGCTGGTTGGCCTGAGCAGATTTCTGACCCGGGTGGTGGTGGAGGTGGTCACTGGCTGTTTTTACCCTCTCCCTGCCTCTCCTGCTCCCACCTGAGCTGCTCCCTGCCTGCTCCTGCCCGTCCCCCTGGGGCTGTGCAGGCAGCAGGCGCCGTGCACTCCGCACACAGATGTTCTTGTAGTCCACCTCCAACACGTGGCCACTCCTGCTGCACACAAAGCTGGAAAAAAAACCCAGGAGAGACTTGCTTTTAGTAAAAAACCACTTTGGTTTACCTTGTTTGTGTAAAGCAATCCTGGCTCACAAGTAATATAAGAGGTCAACAAGGTGTTCAAGTGTTCAGCACACCTCCAAAGAAGTCAGAGCTTCCTATCTAGTTTCCTGAGCCTTTGGAATAGAAATTAGTAAAAGAGCTAAAAGCTTGCTATAAACTCCAGAAAGAAGCCTCCCTCTGCCACAGGCTGGCTGAGCTGACAGCTCTGCCTTTGTGGGACAACACAGGGTGGCAACAAAGGTCTGGCTTTGATGATTAAAATAAACAACAAAGTGTGTGTCTGTATGCAAGAGGATGTGTACCAGGCTCCTCCTGCTGACCCAGGAATCCAACAGAGAGCTTCAGGTGGGAAGAGAGTCACTAAATATGGCACAACAGCAGCATGGCAAGAGCAAAGAGGCTGTTCTGCGAGCAGCCAAACCCCTTTTGGGAGGTGACACGTGCTGAGTGGGGAGAGCCTCTCCCAGCTCCAGCAGGCAGCTGAATTTTGAGGGAGAGCCCCAGCAAAGCACTGTGGCAGAGGGGGAATGCTCAGAGGGACAGGTGACAGTGACAGCCCTTACAGCGCACGGTCCTCCGGCTGCGGCGCGGGCCCCGCCTCGAAGGCCAGGTCGGTGAAGTCCAGGGAGTGGTACTCGCCCAGGCTGACGGGACACGAGCGCAGGGCTCCGCTCCGCACTCGCCACAGCCTGATGTTGTCCCGGCCACACGACACCAGCCTGTCCCGGAGACACGCCTGAGCACCAGGGCAGGGCAGGGCAGTGTCCCAAGGGCCACTGACAGCACAGACTGAGAGCAGCAATGGCAACCACCACAATCCCCCCCAGCCATGCCAGAGTTATCAAACAAAATATTTATCTTGGTTTGGGGTGAAGACATCTTAAAGCTCATCTCATTCCACCCCCTGCCATGGACAGCAACACCTCCCACTGTCCCAGGCTGCTCCAAGCCCTGTTCAGCCCGGCCTTGGGCACTGCCAGGGATCCAGGGGCAGCCACAGCTGCTCTGGGCACCCTGTGCCAGGGCCTGCCCACCCTCCCAGGGAACAATTCCTTCCCAATATATAAGAATCAATACTATCAGTTTCTTTTCCTGGCACACTACCTGGTGTCATCAAAGAAAGCAATCTTCATGGCCTGGATATCCGCATCTGTGTGTGCTTTGGCCAGCACAGTCACACCTCCACCACAGGTCACCTGAGCAGTGTTCCACACCACCACCATCTGAAGCAAGAAAATACGATGGGAGAGCTGCTCAAAACCTTGGCAGCAGAAAAGCTTTTCATCCCACAGCTGCTCCAGAGCTGGGCACAAAGTATTGATAACACAGCTCAAGCAGGGAAATAAAACCCATTGCACAGAGGGTTTAGGACAGTCCAACAGCTTTGCAAAGCTTCATGGCAATATCCTTGCCTGCAATCCATAATTAGAGGTTCTAAATCCCAGGGCTGCCTGGCAACAGGGCTCAGACTTGGAAAAAAAAATCCACAGAGCAGTGGGAACTCTGCCTGCTGGGATACAGGAGCTGTCCCAGGGCTGAGGGAGCAGGAGGCAGCATGTGTCCACTGCTCAGCACAGGTCTGTGTGCCCTCAGTGCCCATCACCAGGGGCAAGAGTCAAACCCTCTGCACAAAGCAAAGGGGCAGATGCCTGCAGAAATGCAGGAGGATGCTCTGCATTCCAGAACAGCATTAAAAGCAAACCCAGCATCACTTCAGAGGCTGGGATGGGCTGAGGCATCACCCTGGGAGAGGTACTCCCCCCAGCACCCCCATTCTCCCACCCTGCTTCCACCCACTGATCCCACCTCCTCAGCTCCCACACAGATCACAGAACAGTGCCACGTGCTGGGAAAAACACAGAGCACTGTGTGGTTTTTCCTTCACTTGTGATGGCACAGCTAATTGCTGATGGTCGTCACTAAAGGATAAAAAACAGTTCCACTGACAAAACAAAACCCCCAGTCCCATGGAACAAGTTTATTTTTGACTGCTACACGTGGGATCTGCGTCATCCCCAGCTACAAAGCTGGGCGGCAGCTCCAGTGCCAGGCATCCCTTCCCACAGTGATGCCTGGAGCTGGAAGATTTCACCTTGTATCTTGCCCTAAATGCTATTAAAATAAAGATATAATCCCATCACCCTGCCTGGGTCCTGGCTGGGATCACTCCAGGGACAGAACAGCCCCATAGCACAACCCCAGCAGGTCTCTCCAGCTGCTTCCAAAAGGATTTGTTCACTTGCAGCTGAGGAACATCCACAAGCATTAGGCAGAGGGAAAATATTCTCTAGGCAGCTAAGGAGAAAGGGATGCCCCCCAAGAACATGTCTAGGAAAGCTGAGAGCAGAAGTTTGCCTGGAAAATAACTACAGGATCTGGAAGAACAGCCCTCTCAGGGAAATCTCCCTGCCCCAGTATCAGCTCTCACCGTTTTGCTGTGCACGTCCCTCCCAACACCACACAGAACAGCTCCACTGTGGGAAAAGCTGCAAGAAGAGAGACCTGGTGAAAAACAGCTCCTTGTACCCTGGGTTCATCCTCCCAGGGCATAAAAGGGGACAAGTAGTGGGGATGGGGAGACAGCAAGACCTGAGGGATAAGCTCAGCACAGAGCTGGCAGCGGGTTCGGTGACAAACACAGGCAGCTGTACCCCATGCCTGGTTTGTCAGGCAGGAACAGCGGGGAAAAGCTGCTGTGCTGCAGTGCTGAGCACACCCTGCACGCACTGCCACCCACCTGAGGCACAGCAGGGACTGCAGGTCGGTTTTGAAGAGGCAGAGGCAGGCTCCCGTGGGGAAGTCCCAGAGGCGGCCCAGGCTGCGGGGCCCGGCCTGCGCCGAGGCCAGCACGGTGTCACCCAACGCCAGCGCCGCCACCTGCGGGGACACGGCCAGCCAGGAGCCAGGAGAGCCCCAGGCTGCAGGACAGCGCTGCCATCGGGGCCTGCAGGGGCTACTCACCTTGTCCGTGTGGCCAAGGAAGAACCTCTGCTCGCCAGTCTCGAGGAGCAGGGCGACGATGACAGCGTGGCAGGGGTACACCACGGCCCTGCTGTCCTGCGTCCACAGAGCCTGCAGCACCAAGGGAGGGGGGACACGGCTCCAGAACTGCCCCACAGCCCAGGCACAGAGCTCTTCCCCAGCCCTGCAAGTGTCCAAGGCCGGGTTGGATGGGCTGTGGAACAACCTGGGCTAGTGGGAGGTTTCCCTGGGGATGGAGTGGGATGGGCATTAAGGTCCCTTCCCTACTATTGAACAGCAGATACAAGGAAAATGACATTGCTGGCATGTGGGACTCAGATTCAGTCAAAGAAAGAAACTGAGAGTTTATAGCCAGGCAGACACCTGGGAAAGAACTGGAGAGAATGTAAGTAATTCTTTATCTCTCTTGTTGTTCACATTGTTTATAGTTAAGTTCTATCACTGTGCGTCAAGCACTTTGCACCAATGGTGTTGGTAGTTTTCACTTCAGAACCAATGGATTTGGTCCTTACGAAGCTCTGTATAAAAGAGCAGTGTATTTTGAATAAATGGGAGTTTTACTTTCACAGCCTTCTGAGTCAAGTCTATCCATTCCCGTCCTGCCTCGACAGCGACACTGGCAGAGCCCTGAACTGACTGAACCAAACCAACCCTTCCTTTACCCTAACACAGACCACAAGCAAGGCCCAGTGTGCCACAGAAACAACCCAAAACACAGCCCTTCCTTTCCAGCATCCAACAAAGCAGCACCAGTTTTAATGTGTTAAAAAGAAGTGAAATTTAGTGAAGGGTCTGGAGCACAAGTCTCAGGAGAAGCAGCTGGGGGATCTCAGCCTGGACCTTCTGGGTCTCCACAGTTCCCTGACAGGAGGGAACAGCCAGGTGAGGGTCAGGCTCTGCTCCCAGGGAAGAAGGGAGGAAATGGCCTCAAGTTTTGCCAGGGGAGGTTTAGATTGGATATTGGGAAAACTTCTTCACAGAAAGGGTGGTCAGGCACTGGCACAGCTGCCCAGGGCAGTGGTGGAGCCACCATCCCTGCACGGATTTAAAAGACATGTGGATGTGGCACCTGAGGACATGGGTCAGTAGAAGGCCTGGGATTCCTGGGAAAACCAGTTGGCATGGATGTTCTTAGAGGGCTTTTCCATCCTATGATTCTGCTTAATGGGCCCCATAATTTTTAATTCACCATCCTAACAGCAGAGCAGTTGTCACAGATGCTCAGGCCCACCCACTTTGGGATCATTTTCCACAGCAGGCAGTGCCACACTCAGCTGCATTTCACACCTCCAAAACATCCATATCCTGGCCACACAAAGACAGATCAACTCCCCAGATCACCCAAGCCACTGACCCATTTGGTGCTGCAGCCTCCAAAGCCAATAATTGTTCTCAGCTTCAGGATGGGATCCGGTAAAAGCCCCTGGAAAAGAAAACCAGACAGAACCATCATGCTTAGAGGCAGGCTGGGGTCCACCCTCCATGGGGCACCCCAGCCCCAGGGCCTGGCTCTCTGAAGCACAGAGGCAGCTTTGGGTTTCTCCTGTCAGAGGGGATAACTTGAAAGCATTTAACCTGGCAGAGTCAAAGCTGGCAGCAGGAGGAGATGGGGTTTCTGAGTTAAGCAGCTGTCCCATCCAGCCCCAGTGATGCCCTGGGGCCACTGTGAGAATCCCAGACTGGCTGGGGTTGGAAGGGACCTTAAAGTCCATCCACCTCCACCCCGTGGCCACAGACAGGGACACCTTCCACTAGCCAAGGTTGCTCCAAGCCCTGCCCAACCTGGCCTTGGACACTGCCAGGGCTGTCCTGCAGGCTGGGGCTCACCTGTGGGATGGCATAAGGGCCAGAGCCCTTCCTGTACACACCTGGCAAACCTGTGGCTCAAGGTCAGCACATCTGAACACAAAGCAAGTAGACCTCTGTCAAAGCAAGTAGAGTGCTAGTGGGAAGAACTGCTCCTCTGCATCTCTTGGACTGTGAGTTTAACTGAAACTCCAGCGTGAACCTTGTGTCCCCTCTCTCCCTTCGTCAGAAATAAAGGGAAATACTCCAAAGAAATACCCCAAAGCCACCCTGTGACCCTCCAGAACTTCACACACCTCCTCCAAGCCAGGGACAGCTCGGGTTGTCTGTCCCCTCCTCCGATGAGCATAGACATGGATGCCACCATCACCGAGTGGCTGTGGCTGCCCGGTGTCCCCTGCACCGTGCAGCCTCTGCTTCTCCTCCAGCACCAGGTCTCCAGCAGGAACAGCTCCCAGAGGCCCTGGGACTGCCAGGTGAACCTCAGGGATGCTTTTTGTGATTGCAGGACACCGATGTGGCACCTGAGAATGAGGAAAGCCTCAGACAGAGCTCAGTTCTCCTCCCAGTGCCCTCCCTGTGCCCCGGGGCACAGACAGGGAGACACCCACTGTGTCCCGAGGGCTCTGCATAGCAACACAAACAAAGAGGAAAAAATGTGGAAGCAGAGCAGCCCTGTGGTTACCTGGCTTGGCCAGGTTGTTAACCAGCCCTCTCCTTACACCCCCAGCATTGTCTGTGCACAGTTCATCTCCTCCTGACAGCAAACCAGAGCCTTGTCCAAATGGAGCTCTGGCAGGTTTGGACCACTGCCCTGGGGAGACTGGTCAGTGCCCAACCACCCTCTGGGGGAAGAACTTTTATCTAATATCCATTAAAACCTGCCCTGACACAGCTCCAGCCATTCCCTGGGTCCCATCCCTGTCACAAAGAGCAGAGATCAGAGCAGTCCCTTGGGAGGAGCTGCAGCCCCTGACAAGAGCTGACCTCAGTCTCTTTTTCTCCTGATCTGATCAAAGCAAGTGACTGCTGCATCTCTTACTCTTCCCCTCTAGACCCTTCACCACCCCACAGCCATCCTTTGGACACTCTCTAATAAGAGAGGCTGTGCTCCTCAGCTCTCCCTCTCCACAGCGTGAGGATGGCTTCCCCCAGCCCCTCTCCCAACACCACCACCACACTGATAAGCCAGTCTGGACATCAGGGGGGAAGGGGAAACCAAGCTGAAGGCAGCTGCCTGCAGCCCCAGCAACGCCAGTTCCACAAACTGCTCTGCCCCTGAGGGCACTGCTCACATTCCCTCCTCTCCAGACCTCACTGCCTTTTCTATAATTTGAAGACACACCGATCTGCTGCCCCACAGAGACAGGGAAGATGGATGTCTGGAGATTCCAAGGTACTTGGCACATCCTGTCTGTGCTGCACCACACTGAACCCCTAGGCAGTGACTGCAGGGCTGTGGTCACCAGACCATGCCTGGAACAGCTGCCAATGACAACAAGCAGCTTCTACATCTTAATTTAAGACACAGATGCAGGGAAATGCTCCATGGGAAGCAGGAAGGAAGGAGCTGCAGCCTCTCCACAGTGCACTTACAGCTTTGGGACTGCTTGTGTGCTGGATGAGGGACAGGTCACAGACTGCTCTGGAGAGTGTCACTGGCTGGGTCAGCGGGCGGCCGGGCTCCTCTAGCACTTGGTCACCTGGGCAACACAAGGAGCAGGTGGAGCTCTTTTGGAAACCCAGGGCACCCATCTGGGGTGGCACAGCCTTGGCTGCCGTCCCCAGCATTCCCACCTGCCACAGGATGTGGGAAGCTCTTCTGGATGGAGTTGTGCAGCAGCTTAGCCCCCTCAGATGGGAACCTGAGCAGAACCAGAGGAAGGCACCGTGTCACTGGGATATTGCACTGGCACCTCAGCCTGGCACTCTTTGCTGTCTCCTGTAAGATCCCTTCCCTTGTGCCTCATGGTGCTCCAAACACAGGGGTACCAAAGGCAATGACACAAGGGTGTCTTGGTTACCAACACCTAAATGCTGGAGGTGGGGCAACCAAAACCCAGGTGAGCCCCAGGTTCACCTGGATCTGTATTCCTTAAGTGGCACTGCCCATCCTGCCCCTCCCAGGGGTGCAGCAAGGCCCGGGAGCTGCACTGGGACCAGAGCAGCCGTACCTGATGTAGTCATAGAGGTCGTGCCACTTCTCCCCCCTGGGCACAGGAAAGGCCAATTCCCGGGGCATGGGAGCCACCCCACGGCAGGACAGGTCACCCAGGCGGGCCCTGGTGAATGTCACACCTGGCAGGACAGGGACACACACACAGTGAGCTCTCCAAGCCCAGGGAGCTGCCTGAAATCCCACTCCCTGAGGGACACGGGCACACACCACTTCCCACCAGAGAAACAAAGAGCACAAAACTGAGGTTTGCCACAAACCCACCTTGCACAGCTGTATTCCTGTAACTCTCAACCTCCAAGAAGAGCCCAGAGCATAAACCCTTGGATTTCAGTTATAAACCCCCAGGCTCAAGATTCATGTCATGTCTATTCACTGATTCAGCAGTTTCACAAGATTTCTCTTAAGGCTCATTGCCCATTTTCTTATTTCCTCCATGAATTTTTTAATTTAGGAAAGTGAAACAGAAAAGGTTTCAAGAAAGATACAATACATTTCAGGAATTTCAAAGCAGCCCCTATAACTTCTTCCTCACTGATGCTTCCCAGCAGGCCAGGCAGTTCAAACAGAATTCCAGCACGAAAAAGGAAAGAGAGAAAACAAAGGATTTGACCAAAGTACCTCTGCCACACTGAGCAGGTGGATAAAAAAAGCAGGTTGGAAGATTTTTGACACAAAAAAAGCACAGACTCTTCTACCAGATGAAAGCACAAGTCTTGCAGAAGTGAGGCTTGATGACACCTTTCATTTTTACTCCTGGAAAAGTTTCTAACCTTAGAGACATATTTAACTTTGCTCCTTTCATTCACTTTTACAGCTAGAAAATGAGAGGATGCTTTCCTCCAGAGTTTGGAAAGCTGTATTTCATTCCAGATTTCCTTCCAGTGCCTAAAGGGGCTCCAAGAGAGGTGGGGAGGGACTTTGGACAAGGGATGGAGGGACAGGACAAGGGAAAATGGCTTCAAGCTACCAGATGACAGGGTTAGATGGGCTATTGGGAAGGAATTGTTCCCTGGGAGGGTGGGCAGGCCCTGGCACAGGGTGCCCAGAGCAGCTGTGGCTGCCCCTGGATCCCTGGCAGTGCCCAAGGCAAGGCTGGATGGGGCTTGGAGCAACCTGGGACAGTGGAAAGTGTCCCTGCCTGTGTGGAAACCTAACATTGTTCCAAGTATTTTACCCTTTCTGTTCCCATCATAGAGCACCAGCAGCCCAGCGTTCTGCCAGGGCTGCAAACTCAGCTTTGAACCCCCATGGGCTGCCCTCAGGCTGGGCTGGAGTCTCAGGAGGAAGCAGAGCCCCCCGAGCTGGGGCTCCTCACCTGGCTCGAAGAGCAGGTCGCTGGTGCAGAGGTTTTTGACGAGCAGGTTGCAGCAGAGTTTGACCCCCCTGAGGTGGCTGTGCCTGCGGCTCAGGTACAGGGCCAGGATGGAGGGCAGGTCCAGCACCAGGCACGTCCAGCGCACGTCAGCCGGGGCTGCTCCGGGCACACCTGGGGAGCACAGGTGGGAAAAGGGATGGTGGGAAAGAGGCTACAGACATGGACCTTGCTGGACAGGAGACACAAGGGTCACAGGTATGAAGTATTTGCCAGGTAAGAGTCCCATCAGGCCTGGGCCAAGTGGGAGATGGGAAAACGTGTCTTGTAGGCTCAGGGGTGGGGAAGGACAGACAGGCATCCCACCACCTCCGTGCCTGGCCTGACACTGCATCCCACTGTTTGGGAGAACAGGGATAGGGGACAGCCTAACCAGGAGCCACAGCTCTGACCTGGCTGCAGAGGGGCTCCTGCTCAGGCCCACCACTGTTATCATAAAATCCTGAGATGGTTTGGGTTGGGAGAAACAACCTTTAAACCCATCTCATTCCATGCCCCTACCATGGGCAGGGACACCTTCCACTAGCTCAGGTTGCTCCACATCCCATCCAACCTGGCCTTGGACAATCCCAGGGATGAGGCAGCCACAACTTCTCTTCAAACACATCGAGCCAACTTGAGAACACAATTTACTCTCTAACAATTAAGTTTTGGTGGTGGTGTGCCAGTCCAGCCCCATCTCCTCACCCCGCCGGGCCGTGCCCTCGCTGGCTGCCCCGCAGACAAAGGGGAACTGGAGCCAGGTGGCTGTGGATTTGAATTCCTTGAAGAGGTTGGAGAAGGAGATGCGAACCACCTGGTTTTCCTGGGAAGAGACACACACACGGAGCTTTAGTCACCCTGGTGGCTTTGGCAGGGAAGTGCTGCAGAGGAGAAGGCATGTGGCCCTGTCTCCTGTCCCCTCCACATCCCCTGGCTCCAGCGGAGATGCCATCAGGATGGAACTCATCTCCAGTCCGGAGTGACCCACCAGCAGCAAAGAGCAGCCACACCCTGCAGGCCCCAAACCCACCAGGGCCACCCCCAGCCCTTCAATCCGCCACAATGGCAGTTTAAGAGGCCACCCCGTGTCACGGACCTCGGTGGCGACATCCAGGTGCACGAGGAAGTGCTTGTGGGGCAGGGGCCTGAAGAGCAGGTAGAGGTAGCGCCCTGTCAGCCCCAGGGACTGCGTCCCTGCCCGTGGCAGCTGCAGGTAGCTGCTGGCTGGGTTGGAACCTCGGATCCGGTATATTGTTCCCTTCATCCTCGTGTCCTTTGGAAACCAGGGAAAGATGGGGGGTGGGTGAGCACTGCCCACCCTTAGCCAGTGCCCCCCACCCCATGGTGGCCCTGTTACCGTGAGGGCGGCCACGTCCCCCTCCTTGGCAGAGCGCTTCCACTCCTCCACACGGAAGTGCTTGAAGATGTTCAGGTAGGGGCGCTGCCAGGCTGCCAGCACCAGGATCATCGAGGGGATGGAACCCCAGCCTGGACACCCCCCCATTGCCCCTGTATGCCCCGAGATCCCCTGTCCATCAGCACCCACCTCACTGTCTGCATGTCCTGAGTCTCCCCAGCCCCAGTGTGAACCTCAAGGTGCAAGCCTGGTGATGCCCCTGGTATCTCCTTACCCCAATTCCCCCCAACCCTGGTGGCACCCCCAAAGCCCAGAGTCCTGCTGAGAGTCCCATTACTCCCCTCCAGCCCCGGGAATGCCCCTGGAACCTCCAAGCCCTGAGCTCCTCCAGTCCCAATGACATTCCCACCACCCCCTGACCCTGCACCCCGGTGCTGTCTCTGTGCCCCTGTGCCCGGTGACACCCCCGGTACCCCACACCCGGTGACAGCACCTCGAGTCCCCCGCCGCAGGGACGGCCCTGAGCCCGAATCCGAGCAATCTCAGCACGACTGACATCCGTGCTACCGCTCTCTCCAAGCCCCTCACCCCCGGCACCGCCGTGCTCCAGAGCTTCCCCATCCCCGGCGCCCTCCCCGCGTTACCGCTGCGCTCCCAGCCCCGCCGGAGCTGCCCCATCGCGGTGACACGGGCGGCACCGCCGTGCTCCGAACCCCCACCCCATGTCCCCATGTGCCCCCGGCCCCGGCCCCGTTACCCCGTGTCCCCCTGTGCCCCCGGCCCCGGCCCCGTTACCCCGTGTCCCCCTGTGCCCCCGGTCCCGGCCCCGTTACCCCATGTCCCCATGTGCCCCCGGTCCCGGCCCCATTACCCCATGTCCCCATGTGCCCCCGGTCCCGGCCCCGTTACCCCGTGTCCCCCCCCGGCCCCGTTACCCCGTGTCCCCATGTGCCCCCGGTCCCGGCCCCGTTACCCCATGTGCCCCCGGTCCCGGTCCCGGTCCCGTTACCCCGTGTCCCCATGTGCCCCCGGTCCCGGCCCCGTTACCCCGTGTCCCCATGTGCCCCCGGCCCCGTTACCCCGTGTCCCCCCCCCCGGTCCCCGTTGTCGCCCCCCCACCTGCCGCCATGGCGCGCGCCGCCGGATCAACCGTCCCGCGCGGCCGCAGCCAATCAGCGGCGCGCTACCGCCTGTCACGTGCCCCCGCCCCGCCCACGCCCCGCCCCCGGGCGCTGGCCACGCCCCCTCCCCGCTGTGGTGACACTATGGCGGCAGAGCCGGGCACGGACGGGGCCGGGTGCCTTTATGTGCCTTTATGAGGCTCAGAGCGAAGGGTCCCCGAAACCGCAGCGCTGCTGGGCGGCGCGGATCTCCCGCAGCAGCGCGTCGTTGTGCAGGCCGAGCTGCGGGCAAGGGGAGCGGGGTCAGGGCCGGGCTGCGGACACTGCCCGGGACACGCGGGGAAGGAACCGGCTGTGCTGCCCGCAGCCCCGCGGGGCCGGACACGCACCTTGACGGTGTATTTGTAACACTGCTCTGCCTCCAGCTGCCGCCCGCCCTGCAACACAGCACCGGGGAGCAAATCCTGGCGTGGGTCAGGCAGGAACAGACCCCTGAGACCATCAAATCCACCCATTCCCCCAGCACTGCCAAGGCCACCGCTGAACCGTGTCCCCAAGTGCCACATCCACACGGCTTTTAAATCCCCCCAGGGATGGGGACTCTGTCAGTACCTGACACGCTTTTCATGAAGAAATTTTCACAATACCCAACCTAAACCTCTCCTGGTACAGTTGGGGTCCTTTCCCCTTGTCCTGTCCCTGTTCCCTGGGAGCAGAGCCTGACCCCCATCTAGCTGTCCCCTCCTATCAGGGACTTGTGCAGAGCCACAAGGTCCTCCCTGAACCTCCATTTCTCCAGGCTGAGCCCCTTCCCAGCTCCCTCAGCCCCTCCTGATGCTCCAGGCCCTTCCCAGCTCCGTTGCCTGCCGTGGACCTGCTCCAGCCCCTCAATGTCTGTCCTGTCATGAAGGGGCCCAAAAGGATCCCAGGCTTTAGGGGGCCTCAGCAGTGGCCAGCACCCCAGGAAAGACATGGGATCTCTGTGAAATGACATTTGTAAGAAGCTCAGCAGGGAGGACATGCCCTGAGGCAGTTGGTGCCTGGGGGTGCTGCTTTTGCCATGCTTGCCCTGAGAACAGACTTTTTATCACACCGGCTCTTCAGGTTCATGAGCAGATGCCAACCCCCCACCAGCCCAACAAACCCCCCATAAACCCCCACTCCATCAGGCTGGCAGGGGCTGGGCACTCACCTGCAGGCAGATGAGGGCGAGATAGCCCCACACTTCAGCATTGGTGTTATCTAGGGCATTGGCTTCAGAGAGAGCATCTTCTGCTTCCAGCATCTCTTCCAGCTTGAGGAGAGAAGGAGAGGCATGGACAAATGAAAAAGAGCAGGCAGAAAGGGCTTCCCAACGGAACAGGCATTGCTCTAACAGCAGAAGAAATCAGTGCAACAGAAGCTCCTAGGAGGGCTTCCCTGAGAGAAACATGGGGGAAAGGATTTAGGGAACAGACAAGGAGTTATCCTCAGTGCCAAAGCATCCAGATCTCCAGTCTGGAGCAGGAGCTTCCCACTGCTGACCCCCATGGGATCACACACTATTTCTAAAATAGGCTGCAGCTGTAAGGAAAGCAACACAAACCCCTTCACCTCTGGGAACTGAGCGATCCAGCTCCATGAGGAAACGTGGCTGTGCTCCTGCTCCCTATTCCTGCCATGCAGCAGCTCTGGGCATGTAGGGGTAGCTGGTGCCCAGGCCACCACTCACCTCCCTAACCCGATTCCACAGCCTCCCAGGAGGGAAACATTTGGCCAAATGGGAAACAGAAGTTCAAATTCCTTCCCTGATTGCTTCCTCAGCCAAAATCCCTTGGAGGTACCTGGCAAGGTGTCCCTTGGGGAGATACTGCACTGCTGGTGGCTTGGCAGCCCTTCAGAAGTGCTGGATTCCCTTGGACAGGGAAAGCACCGAGATTCCTGCCTGCTGACATCCCACTCAGTGCCTTGGTGACATGCAGGTCATGCGCAGGCAGGAACTCGGAGCAGAGCCCAGACTGTTTGCCATGACACCCTGGGGAAGGAGCTGCTGGCAGGAGCTGGGATGAGGGGAAGGGATGGCTGTTCCCAGAGCAGGGGCTGAAGGTGACACCAGCCGGGTGCCACCCTGGGGCTGTCACAGCACACAGGACACGATGGCCTTTGGGAACACTGGCTCACAGGCAGCCAGGAGCTGCTTTAAACAAGGGGATCCTGCAAAAGCCAAGCCCTGTGTCCCATGGCACCAAGTGAAGCCCAGAGGACATGAAGGCAGCTGCACTCACCCTGTAGCAAGCGATGCCCACGCCCAGCCAGGTGAGACAGGAGGCAGAGTTGTCACAGGCGAGCAGGTAGATGTGCTTGGCCCGGCCATACTGCCAGGAGAGAGACAGACACACCCACAGACAGGGGTTTGCCAAACACCCTCTTCCATGGGGCTCAGACACCCACCGGCCCCACTGCTGCTGCAGGAGTGACTTGTTTTGTGGTAGCTTCCCCTCCACAGCCCTGCTGGCTCCTCACCTCTTTCTCTCCCAGGTAGATGGAGCCCAGGCGCAGGTAGACAAAGTGCATATCCACAGCATCCTCCACAAAGCTGATGACTCGCTCGTAGCACTCCTTTGCATTGTCAAAGTCCTTCTGCAGGTAGCACAGGTGTCCTTTCTGAGCCCAGACATTTGGATTCTGTGCACCAAAAACCAGGAGTGAGACACAGACGGGAGAAACACCTGAGAGGGGGCTGGGACACTGCAAGCAGCAGAAAGGAGAAGCTGAGCAGTGTTTCATTGTATTATCACAACTCCCTGTGCAGTGCTCTAGGCTGGGGATGGTGTGGCTGGAAACTCCCTGGTGGCAAAGGAAGGACCTGGGGGTGCTGGTTGGCAGCAGCTGAAGCAGAGCCAGGTGTGCCCAGGTGGCAAGCAGGCCAATGGCCCCTGGCCTATGTCAGCCGTGGCAAGGCTGGCAGGAGCAGGGCAGGGCTTGTGGCTCTGTGCTGGGCACTGGGGAGGCCACAGCTCCAGTGCTGTGGGCTCCTCAATTGTGGGGGGACATTGAGGGGCTGGAGTGGGTGCAGGGAAGGGAAGGGAACTGGGGAAGGGGCTGGAGCACCAGGAGGGGCTGAGGGAGCTGGGAAGGGGCTCAGCCTGGAGAAAAGGAGGCTCAGGGGGGACCTTGTGGCTCTGCACAGCTCCTGACAGGAGGGGACAGCCAGGGGGGCCGGGCTCTGCTCCCAGGGAACAGGGACAGGATGAGAGGAAACAGCCTCAAGTTATGCCAAGACAGGTTGAGATTGGATATTGGGAGAATTTCTTCTCGGGAAGGTCAGGCACAGGCACAGCTGCCCAGGGCAGTGGTGGAGTCACCATCCCTGCAGCGATTTAAAAGCTGTGTGGATGTGGCACTTGGGGACATTGTTTAATTGTGAACATGGTGGTGCTGGGGAATGGTTGGTTTTGATAATCTCAGAGGGCTTTTCCAACCTAAAAAAATCCATGATTCTGTGATATCAGGGCAGGATTTATGGAGAGAGTTAAGGTCAGTGGGCTGCCTGCAGGACACCAGAAATAGGATCCCCCTTCAGCTCCCTGCCCAGTGTCCTGCCTGCACACAGCATTCCCAGGTGTCCTCTTCCCCCTGCCTTCCTTTCAGTCTGCCTCCCCAGAGCCACCCTCCTTGCAGAGAGCTCAATAGCAACCTTGTTTGTCATGAAACAGAACCCAGCTCCCCCACCCAGGGACAGAGGATCAGGATATACCTATTGAGAGAGAAAAGAAAGGCAGACGCTGCAGAGGGAACGACAAAGACAAAGACAGGCTCTGAGATGCTGCCTGCCTGTGCAGGGAGTGACAGGAGGCTGTGACAGCGGGATAACAAAGAGAGCAGTGCTGCAGCCACAGCCTGGAGTGACTGCCTCCCACTGGAATGGCAAAGTGGGAATGCAGCAGGGCTCTGGGCTCTCACACACCAGGGGGTCGATGCGAACGGCCTCGCACAGACATTCCGCACATCTGGGCAGCTCTTCCCGCAGCATGTAGGTCCAGGCCAGGGCCAGGT